ATTGTGCATTAGTCACTGGAAAGCCCAGCTAATATATTTTGTAAAACAATCGATTGTGAAACTTTTTTTTAATTCTTTTCAGAGTATCCAAGGATATAGTTTAGTTTATAGAGGGTTTTTTTTAAAAAGAATGAATAAAGCCCTGGGTTCAAATCCTAGTGCTCAAGAGGTGAAGGCTGGAAGGTCAGAAGTTTAAGGTCCCCCAAGGTTATATAGTGATTTCAGAGCGGGCTACCTGAAACTATGTCAAAAGCAAACAAACAAAACACCATGGGGCTGGACACATTTGATGGAGAGTGGAGTATGCATTCACTGGCTAGCCACCTCCTCTTGCTTTTGTTCTAAGCAGGCCCCTTGTCTTTGGTTGGTGCCACCTGCCTTCAAAGAGGGTCTTTTCTCTGGTTGCTGTGATGGTTAATTTTGGCTGTTAATTTGACCAGATCTGAATTCAACTAAAACCTGCTTTGGGGTGGGCCTGTAAACCTGCCTCCCAGCGGGATTAACTGAGGGGAAGGCCCCCCTTGAGTGAGTGGCATCTCCTCAGCTGCCCAGATACGAAGTCTAAAGGAAAAGCCGTTGCTCTTTGCCCACTCACTTGCTGGCAAGTGCATCCACTTTCTTGCCAGCGCTGCTGCTCATCCTTCACAGACGTCAGAACCCAGCGTCTCCAGCCTTTCAGTGTGGACTGAAGACCAGCATCACTCCAAGCTTTCAGCACCAGGTTGTGACATTGCTGCTGAGACATCCAACTTCATGGACTGAGCACCTAGCTATTGGTGTTCTGAGCCTTTTCAGTGTGCAGCATGTATTTGTGTAAGCCATCCTAATGCATCTCCTTTGTAATAGGTATTCATTCTGTAGATGCTCTTCCTCTAGTCCAGTGGCTCTCAACCTGTGGGTCTCAACCTGTTTGGGTCAACCGACCCTTTCATAGAGTTCACCATTGGAAAACACATATATTATTACATCATGATTCATAACAATAGCAAAATTACAGTTGTGAAGTAGCAATGAGAATAATTTTATGAGTGGGGGGTCACCACAACATGGAGAACTGCATTAAAGGGTCAGAGCCTTAGGAAGGTTGAGAACCACTGATGTAGATAATCCTAGCACAGTTGCTGCTCCGCACACTGGTCACCTTGAAATGTGGACAGTAAAGATCACACTCATGAAGTTTCATATAGAAACGAGGGCTTTGTTGGAAATGGGACTGGGAGTCATTCATGTTCATCCTAGTCTACACATACAAACACACCCACAATCATGTCCACAAACAGCCCATCCCCCTCTAAGATATTGTATGAGACCGAGTCTAAATGTCATAATTGTTTATCAGATGGAGGATATTTCACAGGTGCTGGTATCGATATCGATAGCCCTGAGCTGAGTTTCCAGAGAGAACTGGAGCAAGAAGTAGAGCAGAGGTGAAACATATTTGGGAGATTTTGCTCTGAGTAGGGAGAACCCAACTGCCGTGGTGCACAGGACTTCATAGGGAAGTTTCTCCATACTTGGACATCCTGAACAGCCAGAAGCATTGGTGTTCTCCGTTAGGCTGGTTTTTCAGATATGCGAAATGCAAACCTTGTGAAGTCATGAAGGCTTCCTTCAGATTTGAAGGGAAGGCCTAAGGAGGTCAGGAAAAAAAAAAGCCAATGCTGCTGTGAGACTCTAAGATGCTGGAGATGGCAGGAAGACAGACTCTTCTGAAAAAAAAAGCTGTAGGCAGCCTACTAGAAGAGCCATGTGCATATGGGCTGCAAAGGGCAAGGCCACAGGGACAGGGCGGCCCAGCACATCATAGCTCACAACACCCCAGATGTAGGACAAAGAGCTACAAAATAGTTTGCCGTGTAGGACAAAAGTCATGCTGTACTCTCATTCTTTCTGTGCTCCAATTCCACTATTTAAATGTTTGCTATTTTTGTAATTTCTCTCTCTCTCTCTCTCTCTCTCTCTCTCTCTGTGTGTGTGTGTGTGTGTGTGTGTGTGTGTGTGTACACAGGCCACAGTGCAGGTGGAGGTCAGAGGACAACTCTGTGGAGTTGGTTCTCTCTGCCCACCTTTCTGTGGGTTCCAGGGATTGAACTCAGGTCCTCAGGCTACATTCAAGCACTTCAGTCACTGAGCCATCACACTGGTCCCCATTGTTTATTAAAGCATGTGCCCTGTTAGTTGATTTTTTTTCACAGAGGCCTCCAGCTTAGAAGCTCTCAGGGGAGACTTGGGACAAGCATAATGGGACTGTTGATTCTGTGGAGACTCTTGAAAAGGGACAACTAATTTCATTAGAAGATGGGCATAAGCTTCTGAGGGCAGAATGTTAGACTTTGGATTCCAAATACCTCTCCCTGCCTCACACACACACACACACACACACACACACACACACACACACACACACACACACGCATGCAAATACAAATACCTTATATGTCCCAGACCCATTCCCATCGAAATAATCAGAGGGGTTTTAAGGAGGTTGGGATTGTAGAGGCTCTGGGTCTAATCAACAGACTTCACATTATATTTATATCAACTTATAATAGATTCCTGATTTGATGGCATTTAGTTGGTGGTGAAAACTAGGAGAGAGGGCCTGGCTGGAGGAAGTGGATCACTGTAGGTATGACTTTGAAAGGCTATCTCATCCCAGCCTTCCTCTCTTTCTGTCTACCATGAAGAACACCCTCCTCCATGCCCTTCCATCACAGAGTTTCTGTCTTACCAAAAGGCAATGGATCCAGCCAACCAGGGATTGAAACCTCATAACTGTGACCTAAAATAACTCTTGCCTCTTGTATTTTCCTCAAGTGTTTTTCACAGGAACAGTATCACAAAAATCCCATCCCCAGACATTGAGTCACCAAATGTCTAAATGTAAATAAGACACAGAGACTCTCACAAGACCTCAGAGGAGATTGAACACATTTAGGGAGATGTGGCTGTAGACAAATCCTACAGGGTTTCAGCATTATATGACTGTCTGTGTCCACTCAAGTCTTTTTTATGATGTTTTTCTAATTTGGTGTGCATGGGTGTTTATCTGCATGTATATGTCTGTACCCTACATTCATGCCTGGTGCTGGAGGAGACCAAGAGGACATCAGATCCTCTGGGACTGGTATTATAAACAGATGTGAGTCACCATGTCAGTGCTGGGAATTGAACCCTGTTCCTCTGGAAGAGCAGTGGGTGTTCTTAAACACTAAGTCATTTCTCCATCCTTAAATGTTTATTTTTTAAGATGCTTTTGGGTGAACAGTGTCTCACTGTATACCCCTGCTGGCCTGGAACTTACAGAGATCTGTCTCCCAAGTTGAGATTGAAGGCATGTATTACCATGCCCTCACAAGACTTTTTTTTTTTTAATTATGCACAAGGAGGAGGGCATGTGCACTTGGGTGCAGGTGCTCACAGACTCCACCAGAGGGCACCAAATCCTCAGAAGTCAGAATTACCTCCTTCCCCATGCAGATCCATTCTCTGTCTTTAGAAAAGAATAGGCTTCTAAGAGTTATAAAATACAGCAAAATAAAATATAGTAAGATAAAACAAAAACTATCACATCGAAGTTGGACAATACAAACCAACAGAAGGAAAGGAGCCCAAGAGAAGGCATATGAATCAAAGACCCACTCTTTCACACACTCGGGAGTCCCACATAAACACTAACCTGGAAGCCAGCATCTATAAGCAGGCCTGGTGTAGACCCATGCAGGCCCTGTGCATGCTGCTTCAGCCTCGGAGTTCATGGGAGCTTTGCTCATCCTGATGTAGAGGACCTTATTCTCCTGGTGTCCTCCATCCCCTCTGACTCTTACACTCTTTTCTGCCTCCTCTTCTTCAGGGTTCCGAATGTTCCAAGGTCTCTCACTCTCTGTATAATGTCTGGCTATGGGTCTTTGTTCCCACCCTTCAGATTTTCCTATTCAGTCCTTATATGACATACATTTTGTGTATATGACAGTGGTTTCATGAGATTATAATAGCATTGAATTTTCTTATGACATCATAGCTATCATGTAATTAAAACTGTTACTGCCAAAGTATAACACATACAGTTGTATTCAATACTTGACAATAGCTATATTGTTGGTTGTGTATTTACCATACTACGTTTCAATCATTATTTTAGTGTGTACTCCTTCCACTTACTTGTTTTTTTAAAGGTTTACTGTATAAAGGTATGTCTTGTTCCCCCAGACAGCAGCCTTTTATCTTTTGTTTACCATGCCTTATGACTGTATCAGTAGGTTTTCTGTGGTAACTCACTTGGACCCCCCAGGTCTATGTGTCCACTCTCTCACAACAACAAAACTACTCAGCATTTCTCAGAACATATGACTGTAGTTCTGGGATACGACTTGTCAACTTTCATTTCTTTGTAAGTATGTGTAGAGTATCTCTGTCTGTCTGTCTGTCTGTCTGTATCTCTGTGTACATATATGTGTGTGTGCAGGTTCCTATGGAAGTCAGAAAGGGATCCTCTGGACCTGAAGCTGCAGGTGGTTGGGAACTGAACTCCAGTCCTCTGAAAGAGCAAACAGCGCTCTTAACCACCGAGTCATCTCTCCAGCACTTCAAATTCATTTTTTAAAACTTTCTAAGTGATACTGCTATTGTTGGTCCTGAGGCCACACTTTGTCACCAGCCGGCTTAAGTAAAAGTTAGGCATATAAGTGGTCCTGAAAATAATTTGCCATCCATCAAGCCTTCACTGGTTTCTGATTCCCACAGACAAAAACCTAGGCTGTGTCGACAGTCTGCTCTGCTTTGGTTTCCAAAGTTCCTTTAAAATCCCCAATTTAAGAAAAACAAAACCTTAGACAGTAATGACCGTCTCATTTTGAAAATCTCAAAGTTCTGGATTCCGAAGTTAGCTCCAGCTCCCCCAGTCATCACCCTTCTGTTACATCTGGAAGCAGTGACAGTCTTTGCACCCAGAGAAGACAGAAATAACAGCACAGGAAGCTTGGGGAAGCTGAGGCCACTTCTTTAGGAAAGCACATTTAATTCTGTGACATGACTCAGAGGAGGTGCCGAGGAAGCCGGGATGGTGCTGAAGCAATCTCAACCAGAAACTGACGAAGAAATACCTTGATGCAGCTTCAGAATGTCTGCGAGATAAACAACTGACTCCAAGTGGAACAGGCAGGTGTGTTCCACTTCCTATTATTGTCCTCAGACCCTGAGACTGGGCAGAAATCACCTGTAAAAGAACAGGGCACCATCCTCTGTGCTGTTGCTCAAGGTCGGAACAATTTTAGATGTTCCTGGGCCTCTGGTGAAAACAGCTCCAGGTATTCCCATGTCCTGAAGAACAGCGCTGGTCATCAAGAACCATGAGCCTCATTCCAGAAACACTAGATTCCCGCTCACCTCTTCATCCTTGTAATGCATTTTCTTCTCCTCTCTTAGTTTCCTCATCTAAACCATCTTCTCTAAAGAAAATCCCACTCTACTCTCATGGATGAACTCTGTCTCAGTAGCTAAATGCGATGGTTAATATTTAAACTTCTTGGATCTGTGACCACTCTTCCCGGTCCCTCCCTCATCCTCCTACCACATCCTACCTGCTAACCCCAGAGTAACCCAAGGACAAGACAGGACAGGACAGGCTTATTCCTGTTCTCGAGGCCTGTTCTCAACACTAACACCTGGATCATCCTCACTGATGGTCTTCCCAGATATGAAGATGCAAATGTATGCAGAATGAGCATGAAATAACCAATTGGATGATAACTAAGTGCTACATTAGATGCACCCACTAAAAAAAGATGCAGGGGTTCTGAGAAAGAACAAGACTCATTGTGACATTATGAGAATGACATCTGCTCTTGTAAAAGCCAATGGATTCAGATCTCAAAACTGAAGGACAAAGACCAGCAAAACACACCACGCACACGCACACGTTTTCAGTTCTGGGAATCAAACCCAGGGTATTCCATAAGTGCTCTACCACCAAACAACATCCCAGCCCCCTTATACACACACAGAATCTTGGCTGTATGCTTGATGCCATATTCAATCTCAGCATCTTAGGATACTGATAGTGTTCTCTCCTAGCACGTGTGAAGTCCCAGGTTCTATTCCCAGCACCGCATAAACTAGGCATGACAGCACATGCCCTTAATTCTAGCACCTGAGAGGTGAAGGCAAAGAGGATCAGAAGTTCAAGTCATCCTTGGCTAACACAGCAAGTTCAAGGCCATCCTGGGCTACATATGACCCTGTCTTTCAAAAAGTTAAAAAGAATATTGACACTTGCAATAGACCTTCCAAGTAGCTGGTTCAAACTCATTATTTTTCAAACTAGAAAACTGAACTCCAGATCAAAGAAAGTGACTTTAACATTTAAAAAAAATAGCTGCAATCCTGAGGCCAGGACTCCGATTTTCTGATCATCAAGATCACAGTAATAGGTCTTCTCTCCTTAGGAGATTGGGGGTTGGTTTTTAACATCCTCCTTGAGAAAGGTCCAATATGTCCGCATGCCCACCCTCACATGCTTCCAGGAAGAGGGGGCCCCTTAGAGACCCAGCAAGTGAGTGGTGAGTTACTAAGAATGATGCCACAAGGGAGTGCCTGTGTCCCACACAGTCTGTGGGTTTTTTTATGCCCTCCTTTGTCATCACATAAAATTACAAATATAATAATGCAACTGTGTTTATATACACGCTCCCTTACAGTGAGTGAACCTCATCATGGTTTTGGGTGTCCCCATAGAGAATAAAATAAAATTGCACTTGTGGCCTCCCGGATTAAAGGCTAAGATAAAATGAGGTTGTCCAACCCATAGGAGAACAGGCCACACATGCAGACCCTACTGGCCTGTCATTCCTTCCCGGCACTTTGCCCAGCGCACGAATAGGAACGACTCCTTCACAAGACACCCAAGAGGTAGCTAAAGACAATCACCCCCATGGATGGGTGGAGCACACAGAGGCAAGGGATGAGGTGTGTGGGGGTGCCTGGGAAGAGGAGCAGACGAGCTGGAGAAGCGGGCTAGACCTCTAGTTCTGACCGTAGCCCTCTGCCCTGAGAGGAAAGCATTTGGTCATGAGCGATATCCTTGGTGCACAGCAAATGTCTGTAACAACGAGAATGTGGAAGCCGGAGATAAGAGGCAGCGTTGATGTAACAATGACACTTCTACACGGATCTCTAGGGAAGAATGACTTCTGTTACAAACATCCCCCAGGCCATGCATAACCCCTGAGTGGTCCTGCCAGGCAGCAAGGACTTTCCTAATGAGAGACCCATAGCAGGACTGAGGTGATGGCAAAAGATGCAGGCAACTCTGGAGGTCTCAATTCTCCCCTAACTCCACCCTCCGCCCGAGCAAGGGGAGGCAGGCAGAGGCGCAAATGATACAACTGGGCTTCAAAGATACGCAGTTCCTACCATAGCTGCTGACAGCACCAAGAGCCAGAACGTACAAACCCAGTATAGAGCCAAGGCCTGGCTTCGCTTCCCCTGGAACTAAGTACTGGAGGCCCGCCCTTCCCTCTGGGAGAATGGCCTGACAAGGCAAGCTGGATTCTCAGAGGTAAGGGAGAGCGCCTGCTCAGCATCATGAGTTCCCCTCAAGCTAAGCAGAAAGATCCCCTTCAGGAGGGATTCTAGGACAAAGGCTGTGGAGCTCTGTCTATGGGGACCCGCCACAAGTTTTCAACTACACATTTCCCTGCACTCAATACACACACACACACACACACACACACACACACACACACACACAGATACACTCCCACATACTGATATTTTTCCAGCCCATCCCAATCCAAGCCCCAGATCCCACCCACAAATACTGTCCCCTGTAAACATGATGGCAGAGACTCCGACAGTCTGACAAATCTGGCCTAAGCTGACAAAGGTCTAAGGATGACTTCTTCTCATTAAGTGCCCCGGTAGGTGATGTTGGTGAAGGTGGAGGTGGCCTCTTTAAACAGTGGGTTGTTTGCCTGCAAAAAGAGCAGAAGAGAGTCTCACAGTCAGCTCCTTGCACGTCCTTACCCTCAACAGCTGACTTCCATCTGAGAATGTTGCCCACGACATCCTTCTCTGGAGCCAACTGCCAAAAGCAGCCGGTGTGCACATTCACACTTTTGCTCTGAGGATGGGACTAGACATGAAGTTAGGAGAGGAGAGGATAGAAAGTTGCTAGTCGGCTGCTGTTTCTAAGGGCTTTTAATTCAGCCCACAACTTTTGGTGGTGATTACCCATTAGTCCTTGGCAGTCCCAAAATAGTGTACCATTTTACCCAGTCTCTCCTATTTCTTCTCTCCCTAGTCTTCCTTTCTCTTCATCAAGGCAGTGACAGGAAATGTGAGCCAGAAAGGAAAAAGGCAGCAGGTGGGGTCAGAACACAGAGATTTACTGAAATCATTCTTGTTTTATCTCATCCCTTGAGTGAGTTGCTACCCACAAACCTGTTGTGTGCTCAGGAAGACAGAAGACCTTCACTGGGTTTCCAAAGTTATTTCCCAACCAAAAAAAATGATGAATCCCCTGCTCAATGACAGTACAAGAAATTTATAAAACTCTTTTGTCCCTCAGTGACTCAAAATGTTCTACATAGTCCTAACAGAAACATCTCTGCTTCTTGGGTTCAGTGGATACAAAGTCTAGGGTCACCAGGAGCAAAATTTCAGCCTAACTCTGGACACTCTAGAGTCAAATGGTCACTTGGTAGGTCCAGGAAAATAAAATGAACCAAAAGAGAATAGAATTAAATATACAGGTGGTTCTCAAAAAAACGCACATTTGGTACGCTGTCAAGCTGGCACAGTGGGGGAGAGTACCTGTCCTGAGTTCCATTAGAACCCACAAGGAAGGGGAGGGCTGACTCCGGCAAGTTGTCCCCTGGCCTCTTCACAAATGCCATGGTGTGCATGAGTGTGCACACACACAAACACTTTTTAAAGACTCATTTGATTGGATTAAATCAGGATAAACTACATCCTGGATCCCCCCAGAGAAGCATGATTTGGAAGCTACCACTTTTCGTTTGCAGAAAAAGAATGTAGTAAACAGACATACTGCCACTACATCTATGAGATCAACGTAATTCCTGCAGTCACCAATTCCTTTCTGGGTCAGACAAGCTACTTTAATTCTTGGCCCTCAGCCTCCTTAACTATAGAATGTGAATGATAGCACTGCCCGTCAAAAGGGCTGCTACAGAGAGAAAGCAGAGTAAGGTGTCAAAAGCATTTAGAACAGTTCTTGGTGTGCAGTCCTCAGTAAATGTGAGCTGTCATTTTCTATTCTTGTTTAAACTTCAGACTTCCTCACCACAATACAGTGTGTTACAGATCTGCCCTGCCTCCATCAGCTGGAGAGTACATTTCTCCTTTCATCACAGTATCCTAAGTGTGCACAAACAGGGATCACGACACGTGGTCACTGTAAGGTAAAGGACTGGGTGTTTTTCATGAAGTATAAAGACAACAAAGGACAGTCCATCCATCTGCCAAACAGGATAACTAGAGAACAACTGTGGGTGATGACTCTGACCACAGTTTACAACTGGTGCCGTGACCTCAGGTTCTGTTTTCTGGGGGGTTTTTCCGTTATGTTTTGGTTTTTGGTTTTTTGAGACAGGGTTTCTCTGTGTGACAGCCCTGGCTGGCCTGGAACTCACTCTGTAAACCAGGCCTGCCTCGAATTCACTGAGATCTGCCTGCCTCTGCCTCCCAAGAGCTGGGATTAAAGTCATGCACCACCACCGCCTGGCAACCCCTGGCTCTTGAACCAAAGATTTAAGAAAACGCAAGCACAGCACAGCCTCTTACTGTGTCCCATTTTGCTCTGGCTCGTTCTTCCTCAAATTTAGCAAATTCCTTCCGGTCATGGATGGTGATGAGTAGCTTCCAGATGAGCAGAGTAGCAAGACCGATGAGCAGAATTGCTCCCATCACTGACATCAGGACCACCAGGATGTCAGGACCCTTGGGACACTCTGAGAGGCAGAGGGAGAGAGCAGGAGTTACCAGACATGTCTAGGAATGAGGTCTTAACAAGTGAACAAAACTGGAACTAAGACAGTCAACGGAGTAATCTCACCACTTTTTTAAAGGGGGCAGTCTCTAGGACAGCCATAATCTGTCCTGAGCGGTCTAAATCAGAGTTCTTGGGCTAAATGTATCCATTTGGTACAGGTTCACCCAAGTGTACATTTTAAAACTTAGTGGAGACATGGCTCAGAGGTGAAGAGTACTTGCTGCCATTTCAGAGAGCCCACATTAAATTTCTAGCACCCACATGGTGACCCAGAACCATCTATAACTCTAGGCCACTTGGCAACCTCTTCTGGCCTCCCCTGGCACCCAGGCATGTATAGTACATCTGCATGCAGGCAAGCAAGTCACTTATATACATAAATCTCAAAAATAATTTTTTTAGAAAAATTAATTTGGGGAGTGACTATGCTTGGTTGTAAAGATCTCGCTATTTTCCATGAAGCCTTGGTCTCTATCCCTAGCACTACAAATGCAGGGGCACACACACACACACACACACACACACACACATGCACATACACACACACACATGCACATACACACACACACGCACACACACACACACACCTTCTAACACTAGAACCCACATTCCAGCATTACAGCCACACTAGAGGAGGGGAGCAACTGGCCCTTTTATATTCGGAACATTTGTTTTCTACTTACCAGAGTCCCCTTTCTCCCCTAAGCACAGGCAATGTGTGACTTGTCCTTGGGTCTGTGCCACTGGGCACTCTGGAGCCAAGACCGCCCGGGTTTGAGTCCTGGCTTTAATGTTCAATGCTTATCTGACCTTCAATAAACTAACTTTTCTGGGTGTCTGTTTCCTGTTTCTCCATCTTTAAAATGGAACAGCTTTTCACAGTCATTCAAGAGCTTGTGATGAGCAATGACTAAGCTAAATAGATTTAAAGATCTCAGAACAGTGCCCAGCACAAAATTAACCCCACATAAGCACTAGCTGTCAGTAGTGGTGGTGTTCTCATACCTAGCCTTTCCACTTCCTGCCTCATCGGCAAGTGTGTCTTTTTGTCCCGTTCAGATATTTACATCCCTGAGAGCTATAAACTCGGTGGGCTTCTCAGCATCCTTAGAGAGCAGGATCCTGCCCATCAGGATAATATTTAGTCATCGAAAATATTAACCCTACTGGAAGTGTAACCCTATTGTTCAACCCTAGTCAACAACCAAAGCAGGCATGCTGTGTTACTCCTTCACAGGTCAGCTGATGATATTATATAGAGTCCAGCTTCCCATAAGCCTTGGATATCCAACAAGTGATCTCATACTGTCAACCTCCAGTATTATGAAACCAGGTGTTTGTATATATGGGTGCTGATGAGTCTGGAGAGGAAGTCATGCCCACTGTCCACTCTGTCTCCCACCTTCTTCTCTAAACAGACACTCTAGCTCACCACATACTGCACAAAAACAACCGCCACCACAAACCACATTGGCCGTTTCCCAACCCACCAAATTACAACCTATCGATAATCAAGGGGCTCCTGGAGAGAGCTTGTGAGGTTCCAGTGCCCAAATTACCAGGAGCAAAGGGCCCCAGTTCTTCTGGGAAAAGCAACTGTGAATTCTTTGAAAGCTTGAGGTAGGGCTGACCCTCAAACCTCATAGTGACATTTTCACATGGTGGTCTCGGCAACGCAGGTAGAATCTTAGAGAAAGCAATCTGTCATCACTAGAGGTGGAAGGCAGGAGACAGTATCAGATGCCTTGCAACCACAGCAGTGGGCCCACAGTGGTCCACACACAAGCCCTGGAAGGGTTGGCAGATTTAGTAAACAGAAGTATAGGAAGTCCAGGTCGATCTGACTTCCGACAAACAAGTTACTATTTCAGTGTGTGTGTACTAAATATTGCATGGACCACACCATGTTTTTTCTGGCAGGCCTATCGGAGAGTGAAGAGGGCCCAGTTCTGAGGCCCATTCCATGTCGCTGATTCCACTTGGAAATATTCTTTACTGCCCTGCAGTGGCTCAGCCCTTCAAAGTAAACATCTGCAAGAATAGTCTCTTTCTAAGCTTCAGGGCTCCATCTGCCCATGCTACTCCAAGCTAGAATGTCTGGAAACACTGGGGAGTTAGGTGAGAGGCAGAGCCAGGGCAATAGGAAATGTGGGCCCCTGTGAGGGTGTGACTTCGAAATACAGCTCTTGCACAGGATCCTAGGTTCTAACAACACCACAAAGTCAAAGGACACTGTAGGTCACTAGACCTGCACGTCCCACTGTGAAAAATGGATGCACTGGCAGAGAACGTGACTTCCCAGGGTTGTCTGACCATCCCACATGATCATCACCTTTGCTCCCCTTAACTATAGTAGATTCCAGTCTCAAAATCCCAAGCCAAATGGTTTGGGTAAGTTATTCAACAGGAACACCAACAAAGATTTTGCGACAAAAAGACAAAGTACTTGTAGAGCCAAAATCAAAGACCCAATGCCCTCCTGGAACACAAAGGGATGAAGGTATGGCTAGGGAAGGATAAGAAAAACCTACATGGTGAGTAGGAAGCTGTGGTCAAGGAAGCTGTGGTCAAACCCAGAGATAGCAGGATCCTGGGTACCCAAAGTGGCTCCTATGATTTTCCTGCCTCCACCATCCCACCTTCATCCCCTTTCTTCTGCAAGTAACCAAAATTCTGTAAGCAAATTATCCCCAGAACCACATAAAAACTGGATGTGATAGTTCATGCCAAACTCCAGCACTCAAGGAGAGGCAGGAAGATCAGAAGTTCAAGGTCATCCTCATTACAGTGTGTGTGGTGATATATTATTTATGATTTATTAAAACTTGCCTGAGGATTCAGAAAGCAAAGTCAGCCTCAAGCTATAGAGATCAGGCAGTGGTTGTACACACCTTTAATCCCAGGACTCAGGAGACAAAGGCAGATGATCTCTCTGAGTTCAAGGCCACCGGGGCTATATGAGATTGAGTCCATCTAAAAGAGTAACAGAGCTCATGCCTGTAATCCCAGTACTAGAGAGATATAAAAGATAGAGCAGGGTCTTCAGTAGTCAATTGTAGGATTCTCTAGCCACGTTGAGAAGAGCACAGCAGTCTGAGTGAATCTGAGGAGCAGTGAAGTTGGGAGCAGTCTGATGATTGCCCCTTTGGTCTCAGCTGAGGTAGTGATAAGAACTAGTGGCTGGCTGCTTAGCTTTTCTGATCTTCAGCTTGAAGTTTGAACCCTGATGTCAGTCCCTGGGTCTTTTATGTATCTTGTTTAAGGTATGCAAGGCATTAGAGGACACTGAAACCAGGAAAAAATAATTTAGCTCTTGTTGTGCCCAAATTCTGAACACCCAAAATCACCAAGAGACCCATTTCAATGCAAATGCAAAGAGTCATTTATTATTTAATGAGTTAACTGTATTAACTCGGGTCTTCTGTCCCTCCAATATGGCAGGTGGGAGAGACAAGGACCCTAAGGAGACTTGAGGCAGGGTAGAACAAGGGGAGTGTCTAGGGGTGCGCAACAATCTCAGGACTGGTGTACTTCTAGGCTTGTGTTGATTGGTCAACTGGTTGCTATGGCCAATAGGCACTCTCAGGGCAGTTGCTATGCTCTGCACACCACTATTACGCCACAGTTACCGTAAAGCATATCCAGAGCCTGCCAGCTAACTTTTGAGTGTTTCCTTGCCACATGGAGGTATCTGACCTCCTAGTGACTGGGGCAGGTCCAGAAAGGTCAGAAGGCTGGAAACTCAGCAACATGTGCTGAGTCAGAGGCCTACATCTTGCTGGGTCTTTTCTGCGGGCTGTCATGGCTGCTAAAGCAGAGGGCTGGGTGAGCATCTGGTCCCTTCACTCTTAGGGATATCCATATTCACCTTCTTCCTCTCATTTTTCTGTCTCCTCAATTAACAAGCCACCTTATTTTTTAAATTAATTTTTAGTCATTTGGTAGTGGTGCACACTTTTAATCCCAGCAGGGAGGCAGAGGCAGGCAGACCTCTGAGTTTGAGGCCAGCCAGGTCTATAGAACGAGTTCCAGGATGGCCAGAGCTATACATAAAGACCCTGTCTCTAAATTTTAAAAAAAAAGGTTTATTTGTATTTCTAACGAAGTGTATGTGTTTGTGTCTATGTCAGAATATGTGTCTGGGAGCAGTTGACTGCAGAGGCTGGCAGATTGGGGTCAGATCTCCTAGAGCTGGAATTACAGGTGGTTGTGAGCCACCTGCTCCTATGCTGGGAACCAGGTTCAGGGCCTCCGTCTGAACATCCAGTGCTCCTAACCGAGTGAGCAGTCTCTCCAGCCCCAGTGAGTCTCTTTCTTGCTAGCTCTTAGAGATATACCCCCTTACCTCCTTGACCTGTTTTGTTTGAAAGGGTTACAAATAGAAATTCCTGCCTTACAAGGGAGTCTCTTTCTCCCTAAGGACTGGGACAGGGCCTTAGGGCTCACTTACCTGGCTCTTCCACCACATACAGGATGGCCCTTCCACTGGTGTCTTCATAGTACTGGAATCTGACAACACAGTCATCCTCATTCTTGTAGGTACAGTTCACTGCATTTTTGCCAGTATCCACTGGCATAGGGAAGGGAGAACAAGGAGAATGAGAGAGAAAAAAAAGTCAAACCCCAGAAGACAAGATTTTTTTCCCAAACCCAGGTCATAGGACATCTGGAAAGTACACGACAGAAAACTGCCTGACATTGAGCAAGATGCCCAGGTTGGAGATCACTCCTGGCAAACTGGCCCATGGTGATGAATTTTATTTCTCACGGGCCCTTTTTGGTTCTTATTCCTTCCTCTGAACAGGGCAGGCTATAACAGTATAGTCAGTACATTCTGATGCAAAGCCTGTCTCTACGACCAGCTGTGACACCTGGTGTGATCGGCTCTTATCACCTTCATCTAAGAAAGGAAAGCGATGCCCCCACCTTACATGGGAGTTAATAGCACCCAACAGTTGCTAACACACAGTAGGTGTCTCCTCCCCTCTCTTTCCTTTCTCTGCTTCCCCACTGCTTCTCAGTCTGTTGATGCAACCCTTCTAGTTCTTTCCCTTCTGTTTCCGATGTGGTGTGGCTCTCGACAGCCACCCCCATCTCTGATTCCCATCATGTTTTGCAGGCTTCAGCCCTTCTCATTCTGAAACCCACCAGTCACTGCTAAACGCTGTGGGTAACTCTCCACGAGGAATACTTTGCCATATCCTGACGGATGCAGATGGGCCAAACTGACAGGGGCAGCATTCGAAAACTGCCGATAGCCATTGGGCAAGTCGAGACAGGAAAGAGGGAAGTAGGCACCTACGATATGTTAGCAACTGTCTACTTTATGTCATTTAACTCCCCCTGTAAGGTAGGGGCCATTGTTTTTCTTTCACAGATAAAGAAAAGTAGACTCAGTGGGGTCAGATAAAAACCCTTACCCCCTGAGCTGATCACAGCAAGTCTAGTCTCCGCTAGAGGAAATACTGCTTCTTCAACCCCTAATCACTCCAGCCTCTTTCTGCTATCAAAGGTCCAGAGCCCTGGATCTCTTATAACGCCCCTACTGGAAGCTGACCTTGGGTGACTCTCACATGAAGAGGCACTTCCTGTCTGCATGTGCAATTGTTATCTGTTCAGAGACTGCCATCTTCCGAGCACCACCCTGTCCCTCACAACTCAGATAACATATCAGATGTATTGAAAGCAGCAAAGATCATCTTTAAAGGCAGCAGAATAACTAACTGTAGGTATGGATTCTGCTCCCCCTGTTTATACTTCTGGGGTAGGGGAGCTCCAGAAAGTCAAAAGAGCTTTAAGAGAGAAGTCATGATTATGTATCTACAACACTGAAGGTTTCTCTCCAAACCAACAAGCTAGGCAAAAGCCTAGGGATAATTTAACACTCTTATAAGATTTTGTTTTTATTTTATGTATATGGGTATTTTGTCTGCATATGTATATTTATGCACCATGTATATGCAGTGTCCATGGAGGTCAGAATGGGGCAGGATTCTTGGGAACTGGAGTTACAGATGTTTGCTAGCCACCATGTGGGTGCTGGAAACGGAACCTGGGTTCTTTGCAAGTGCTCTAAACCACAGAGCATCTCTCCATCCCCTTAACATTTGTTTGTTTGTTTGTTTGTTTGTTTGTTTTCAAGACAGGGTTTCTCTGTGTAGCTTTAGAGTCTGTCCTAGCTCTTGTAGACCAGGCTGGTCTGGAACTCACAGAGATCTGCCTGTCTCTGCCTCCCAAGTGCTGGGATTAAAGGTGTGAACCACCACCAGCCCCCTCAACACATTTTAAAAATAGTTTTTGGAGAACTGGTCTTGCTCTGTAACTCAGGCTGTCCTGGAACTCACTATTGTAGCCCAGGCTGACTTCAAAGTCCAGAGGCACTAACCTCAGGTGACAGGATTTTAGGTGTATGCCACCAGGCCCAATGTTGCTTACTCACCTTCTATGTTAGGGGTGGCTGTCACAGGTCTATGCCTTGGTTTCTTTGTCTATAAAATCTAGTACATCACCTTCCTCTCCTTTAAGGGTAAATTAAGACTTATCTGACCTGTGCATCCTTCACAAGTTACGCACAGGTTCTTGATGAGCCTGGGACTGCAGGAAGCAGGTGGATTTGCAAGGATGCAGAAGGCATCGGGAAGCCAGGCTTTGCCCTGTGCCTACTGCACATCAGGCCTGCACAGCGCTCCTTGGGGTGGGAGCTACTCTTCAGTGTAGAGAAGGAAGCAGGCAGGATCTGAGACAGAAATGGAACTATGTACAAGCACGGATGTGTGAGACCCTTAACACCTGCTGAACTTACTCAGTTCTGCCACAAGCCTGATATCATCTCGACAGTAGCGGCTGCAGGTGTTTTCTTCGTGGAGGGTTCCCCGGTTGAACTTCTTACACTCCACACACTCCCTGGAGGAGAGAGGACACAGCCACTAAAGCAAAAGAGGTAGATCCCTAAGTGTGCCACACACCTGGAAAGTACCATGGAGCTCAGGAATGAGGGGCCCTCCTCACCCACAGGCAGGACCTGGCCAGCCAACCCTGGATCCGAGGCAGAGCCTCACTATAGAGCCTAATCTGGTCTTGAACTTGATCCCCTTGCCTCAGGCTCCTGATTGCTGGGATTATAAGATCGAATAGGCTTCTTTAAGCTTCAAGGTCTATGATAGTGATGATGATGGTAGTGGTGGTGGTGATGATGGTGGTGGTGGTGGTGATGATGATGGTGGTGGGAATGGTGACTCCCCATCACTTCTGGAAGGTTTAAGGTCAGCACTGGTCATATGATTTCAGAGTCTACTGACAAAAATTAAAGTTCTATTCAAACATGCTAAGGATTTCAAGATAGTGAAAATAGAGCATTTGGCCCAGCATGAGGCTCTTTCTTCCGGGCACCGATTCCTACCACAGTTCAAAGTGTATAACTGTGAACCTGGCAATAGCAGAGCCACAGACTTGGGTTTCCTGTAACTTCCAAACAGGGCAAGTCTGTACTGGCAGAATGCCCGCCTCACCTGGGGCCCACGGTAACTTCAGCCCCTGCACCCCCCACAGGAATCAGAACGCTGCATTGGAGTGTTAAGAGGGTGTTCTATTCGATCCTCCTCTCAATGCCGCTTTGGAAGAGGGCTTGCTCCAGTTGGTACTACTGTGGTCCCTGCACAGCTGGTACCACTTCCAACATCCCCAGAGAAAGGCATTCATGAACAAAAATGAAAGCAGTCATTTTTTTGGAGCAAACTACTGTCCAAAACAGATCCTTGAGAGTTGGGAGTTCTAATCCGGGGCCCTCTTCCTTCTTGCAGCCTCCCTCCTTGCTCCAAAGTATTGACTCACTTCTTAAATGAGCAGGCATCTGGGCAAGTGGGACACTTCTCACAGGTGTCTCCGTAAGAGCCTGGCTGGACGCAGACACAGCTGCCACACTCACAGTTGCCCCGGCCGCTGCACAGCAGCCCGTTGCTGGACAAGCAGGTGTCAGTGCGTGTCGTACAGTTGCAGTAGAAGCCAGTCCAGTCTGAGTCACACACGCAGTCCCCACAGTTGCACTGGCCATGGCCTACAAACAGAGCCCGGGACAGCAGACCAGCTGGTGAGAAGCCCATCCCATGACAACAGACTACGTCACCCTGTTCTCCCTACAGCACTAAATACCATCCTGTATGTAAGCAGAGGAACTGGCTCATTGCCAGGAGAACTCTACCCAGCAGAGACAGACAACAATTTAGGAAGACCTGGAAAGCAAAGGAATCTTTAGATCTCTGTCTCCCAGATTTCCTGCCTCTTTTCTTGCCCAGTTCTGAATCCTTCTTCCTTCTCTGCCAGCACAAGTCTGAGGACTATAGCCAGCTCTTTAACCCCAAGGGATGGCCCAGCAAGAATCTATAGTCTGTTGCCCACACGGGGCATTCAGGAACTTTGCCAGAGTAGCCTGATGATGGTAAATGGCTCCTCCAGCCCTTACACGTGTCACCTTTGACCTGACAAGACTGCTTCCTCTCCAATGTGACTTGAAAGGCCAGCCATCATTATCATTATCTTCTCCTAGTTAAGTTAGACACCAACACAGGCTCTGGTTTGAATAAGCTAGCCTCTCCCACCAATGAAATAATGGGCCAGCCAACAAGCTCCATTACTGTGTTTCTCGAAGCAGCTAACTGTCATCTTGCAAGTCGAGAAGAAAGGCTCTGAGGGAGCACTCATGAGACAGAAAAGTGCACCATAAAGAGCATGGAGGGGTGGATGATCCTGTTACTGTCTCGTGCCAAGGCTAGGAAGGGAAGGTACACAGCAAGCCTTGGGTATGCAGGTACATGGGATAGGGTATCCAAGGGCCGGACAGAAGGCCCTGGGAGCCTTTACTCAGCCAACAGAGCCAAGGAAGAACAAAGAACAATACAGCCTACCTTACAGCCTGCTGAGGGCCAATACAGCTAAATAAATCCCATCAGTGCCACAGAGAAGGCAGCAGAAAATGAGAAAGGCTCAATGAAAAGAGGAGAGAGATTTTCCAAAGGTAAACAGTTGTAAGCTGGTTAGCGATGACCTCACATAGCCCAGAGGTTTCCACTAAACTTCTGCTGATAAATTGTCCTTGCCTCTCTGCCGGAAAGCTGCAAAAACATTTACCATGACTAATGTCTGAAGTTGTAGGCATGGTTCAACAGCATCCAACCTCACCAATACAACCTGTCTTCTCATATGTCCCCCATATGCTTGCATTTTGATCTAGCCGGCGATGCTATTTTGAGAGATTCTGGAAACTCAAGAGGTGGAGCCTCGCTAGAAGAAATAGGTTATTGGGGGTGGGTCTGTGCAGGGTTCCACAGATACATCCCTGACCAATTCCTGGCTTGCTCTCTTTGCTCCAGGTTGGCCATGAAGTGAGCAGCTCTCCTCTGCCACATGCCCCTGCCCTTAGGCTGTCCTCCCTAAGCGTTGGGACCAAGCAAACATAGACTGAACCCTCTGAGACCATTAGCCAAAATAACTCTTTCCCCCTTCATTTCTCTGGGGTATTTTATAATAGCAACAGAAATAATTAATACATCCTGTTGCCCTATGTCAGCGGTTCTCACCCACAACCTTCCTGCACATCAGATATTTACATTATGATTCATAACAGTAGCATAATTACAGTTATAGTGTAGCAATGAAAGTAATTGTATGGTTGGGCTCAGCACAACATGGGGACACAGCATTAGGAAGACTGAAGAGCCCTAAGTGGCTGAGAACACAGTAGGGCAGCTTTGGAAAGCATTTAGAGAATGATATTATTTTCCAAAACCAAGGAAATGGATATCCCCAATGGAAGTTGTCCCACCAGTATTCACAGTTAAGACAATAATGTCCACAGGCACTTGCTGAGCATTCAGTATGTGCCAGTACACGTCATATTCTGTAGCGAGTTACCCGATTCATTTTTACAACAATCCCATAGTGTCAGAAAGGTTATGTAACTTGCCCTGGCCACAGCTTACAAGCAGCAGAGTCGGGGCTCAGCCTTGAGTGACCACACAACAGCCAACACTCGGCGCTATCCCCTTCTTCCACACTGTTTTTATGGTCTCCTGTTTCTGCTCATATTGTTCTTTCTTCCTTTAACTCTGTGACTTTTCAAATCCCTATGCACCCTTGAGGCCCAAGTGTTCCTTCCTCCCATTAACTTTTTCTGACTTCCTCAGGTTGAGTCTACTGTCTTCTCGTGTGTTCTCCCAGCACATTACGGCTGCCTCTACGTCTGTCTCTACTCTACTCTATGGCCATCTGCTTGCTTATTGGTTTCTCTTTCTAAACCGTGAGCTTCTTGGTAGGAGATACCATGTCATTAATAGAAATTACCATGAAATCTTTTATAGCGTAGGCAGACACCCACCTAATGTTTGTTCAGTCATCCATTCACTCAACAGATATTCACTGAACCTGGACCACAAGCTGGGTCCTGGCAGTTTAGCAGTGAGCATGGCAGATAAGACTGTAGTACAAGGGAGCTTACAATTGCATCAAATCCATGAACACACACACAAACACACACACACACACATCAATTGTGCACTGTGCCGTATTACAGTGTTGCAAGGAGCCATCAGCCATTCATTTCTCTGAAAGTAGGACTTGGAGGGAACCTGGTGTGGAGCATCAGGCTACTGAAAGGCAGGTTTTAACTCCCAATGCTATATCCCTCTAATATTCACTTGACAGGAGTTTAAAAGTTAGCAATTGACCAGACAAAAAGTGGCCCATTCTCCAGAGCTCTGCCTCAGAAAGAACTGTACAGATAATAAAGACATGACTTAATCAGAGGAAAGACAAGGAACAAATATTGGTCTGGAGACCACATCAGTAGCCCCAAGAAGGTGAGGAGGGTTGTGCAGGGCCAGGCTCTTGCAGTAACTAGATCATACCTACTGCAGTCATTGAACCTGCTGTCGTCTGAACGCTATGGAACCCTCTGCTCATAGTCCTGGCACTGTCATCCCCCAAACACATCATCATTCAAGACTCAAACATGTAATTAAGACTCTACTACATCACTCCCTTGAAAGAAATATGTTTCTCCTTAGGACAGAAGGACCAGTTGTGGTGGGCCTGTCGGATATGCTAAAGAAACAGAGGCAGAAGATCACAAGGTCAAGACCAGCCTAGGCTATACACTGGGGCTGGAGGATGGTTCAGGAGTCAAGAGCACTGGCTGCTCTTCTGGAAGAGCAGAGTTGGAATCCCAACACCTGCTGGGTGACTAACTACTGTCTAACGCCAATCCTAGGATGCAATGCCCACTTCTGGCCTCTACAGGCACTGCATGCACGTGGTGTACAGACATACATGCAGGCAGAACACCCATATATATATATTTTTTATTTTTTAAATTTAAATTTAGATTAGAAACAAGGTTGCTTCACAAGTCAGTTCCAGGTCCCTCTCCATTTCCCTCCCCTCCTCCTGTGTCCTCTCCCCAACCCCCCCCATCATCCCCTCATTTCCCCAGGGAGGGTGAGGCCTTTCATGGGGGTGTCCATAGTCTGTCAACCCATATATATTTTTTAAATGGGACTAGAAAGATGGTTCAACAGTTAAGACCACTGACTGCTCTTCCAGAAGACCCAGGTTCAATTCCCAGCACCAACGTGGCAGCTCACAACTGTCTGTAACTCCAGTGCCAGAGGATCCAACACCCACATACAGACATACATGCAGGCAAAGGACTGATGCACATAAAATAAGAATAAATAAATCATTTTTAAAAATAGAAATATCTGGATAGTATTGGCACATGCCTTTAATCCCAACACTCAGTGGAATTGAGGTCATCCTGGTCTACAGAGTGAGTTCCAGGACAACCAGGGCTACACAGAGAAACTCTTCTTGAAAAACTTTAGATAGATAGATAGATTAAAAAATTTTAAATAGCTGGGTGATATTGACATGTGTCTTTAATCCCAGTACTCAGTGGGCCAAGGCAGGCAGGTCTCTGAGTTTGAAGCCAGCCTGGTCCACAGAGCTAGTTCCAAGACAGTCAGGGCTACACAAAGAAACCATGTCTTGAAAAACCTATATAATTCTGGGATGTGGTGGTGCACACATTTAATCTCAGTACTTGGGAGGCAGAGGCAGGCAGATCTTTGTGAATTCTGAGCCAGTCTGATCTACAGAGCAAGTTCCAGAACAACCTTCAAAGCTACAGAAAAACACTGTCTTTAAAAAAAACCTAAATAAATAAATGTTTTTAATTAAGACCAAAAGATGGGACCAGAAGCAAGTTGGCCAGGTATACCTAGAGATGGGGAGGATAGGGTGCTGGCAAGAAAGATTGGAAGCAGAAATACTCCAAGTCTTGAGGTTGTCTCTAGAAGCATGGTTATGATTAGGCTCTTCTTTACTGGGGAGAAGAAAGGGAGGCAGGCAGGAAAGCAGTGGTCAAAAGCCATCTAGGAAAAGGTAAAGTGCTTGCCACAGAGGCAAGAGGATCTGAGCTCTATCCCCAGCAGCTATAGAAAAAGTCAGGTGTGTAGGCACATACTTGTTAACCCCCCCACAGGAGGGCAGAGGCCTGGGGCTCACTCACACACCAGGTCCCAGCAGGAGACCCAGTCTCTATAAGCAAGGGATGGCACTCGGTGATCATCTGACTTCCACACATGCATGTGTGCATGCACATGCTCGTACATGTTTACACACTCACACACACACACACACACACAGAGAGAGAGAGAGAGAGAGAGAGAGAGAGAGAGAGAGAGTGGGGGGGGGTATGTGGTCTAGGACAGAAGCTCCCTTCAGCCTGAATCCATGGAGAGTTTGGAAATATGAATGGCACCACAGAGCTAGGCCCACTTTGAGGAAAGGGAACTGCCCTTGTGGAGCCTTCACCAGTCATTGGTCAACTTCTGAAGGCAAGGCTACTCCCATCAGCTCCAAAGAAGCAAGTCAGTCAACCCTCCAGACAGCAGCTGGGGGTGGGTATGCCAGACAGCAGAATGAACCCCACGTGTCCACTACGCCTTGCTTTCAGCCATGGTTCCTGGATGGGGAAAGAAGAACGCCACAGAGGCCTGGCAGCACTTAGAAGAGGCCTCGGCCTCCGCAGAACCCTTGGCCCACAGCGTTTCCTTTGTGAGACAAAACAAAGTGATCTTTGAGGAGATGATCTCCGGGGCCAGCCAGAGAGTGATGATGGGAATGGACGTGGGTAGCCAGAGCCAGCAGGCTGACCCCAAGCCCTGGCAGAGTCAGCCCTTAAAAGGAAGCCACAGTGTAGTAATGTCACGGTGCTGGCCCCTCTCCAGCCAAAGGACGGCCTAGGCTGGGTTCACAGGAAAGCCAGAGCAGGGAGCAAGAATTGAGAGTGGAGGAGGAGGAGGGTTTCAGTCAGAGGGTGTGTGACTACTCTCCCTGCAAAGCCAGACTTCCAGTCTGACTCATGACTCCTTTCCTGTGTGAGCCAGCCTTCCGACATCACCACCTCCATGAAACTGCCCAGGATTCCCCTACCCACGAGTGTCTCTCTGAGGACCCTCTGCAGACACCTCATTTCCGGGTCCTGGCAGGTTGTGACTCCTAATGTGAACGACACTTGGGTATAATACTAAACAGTAAAACTGCCTGTTGACACCTGTTCCTCCCGTGTGGCTATGGCACAGGGCCTAGCCCACAGAGGAAGCCTATCTGTGTGTAGCAGGTGGGAAAAACATGAGGAGAGGGACGCATTTCCTGTCTCCCTGCCGTAGAAGGGCATGAGCAACCTCAAAGACCACGCCTGAAGCAGGAAGAAGCAAGCTAGGGCCACCTACGGTGCTCAGAAGAGAAGCTAGGAAGAAAGCGGAGTTGCCCACCACTCCACAAGGCAGACATTGGAGTAGAGGGACACTGATGGGCGGGGCATAGCTCCGGGAGGTCAGGAACCCCTTGTTCACCCATATGAACCAAATGTCAGCACATCTAAGTGTGTGATAACAGTGTCACAAGAACAACATATGAAGCACCAGACACCCTGCCAAGGAGGAGTAAAATGGGTGCTGCACTGGATTCGAACGCAGCACATAGGACCAGAAATGTCTACACCTTAAGGGGGCAGGAATCACCAAGGCTCTGTGGGATTGGCAGTAAAGAAAACACTCTGGCTGGGATCCGTCCTGCAGACCTCGTGCGAGACCAGGACCAATCAACCCTGGAGCAGTGAAGGGGCCCAAAGGCCAACCGCAGCCAGCATTCCCAGCTTGCTCCTTTTGGTGTGTCTTTGGTAGTATGAACATGATAGAAACACTGTTAAATATTCAAATGAGCTGAACCCCACCCCCACCCTAGTTCTTGTGTGCCTGTTCTCCTCATTAGGGCCCTAATCTCTCTCCACTACTCCAGTTAATAGTGATACCACTTTCCCCCAAGCCTTCTCTCAAAACTTGCTGGCATGACTGAAGTAAACAATGTCACAGATCAGAAAAGGCATCATTTTTTTATGTTTGTGGTGCATATGCTTTATGTTTTTAAAGGTTTTTAAATTATGTGTTTGGTGGGCATGTGCACTTTGAGTGCAGGTGCCCCTGGAGGTCAGAGGCCTGAGCTCCTCTGCGGCTGGAGTTGCAGGTGGTTGTGAGCTACCTGGAAACTGAACTCAGGTCATCTACAAGAATAGTATGCCTCTTAACCACTGAGTCGTTACTCCAGCCCCTTGGGGCCTGTTTTTACATTGCATATTTATCTTTCTTATTGAGCGTTTTTTTGTGGTGGTGGTGGTGGTGGTGATGATAGGGTGTCGGCTAACCTCAAACTTGGTTTGTAGTTGAGGATGACCTTGACCTCCTGATCATAGTCTATAGATAGCCTATAGTACTGAGACTGTAGGCATGTGCCACCACGCTAAAGTGAACACCTGAGTCACTTAGCTCGGCTGGCTAAAATCCAATGCAAATGAAGCCCATCTGGGTCTTAGATTATCACAGAAATCAATTAGGACTTCTCTGTTCAGTTGATTACACAGAATACCCATAACCCAGCTCCAACCAATTTGTAAATGTCTGCAGTCTGTCTGTCTCAAACAGGATTAAGTCACAATGACTACAGTCCAACATAAATCTACCTCCAGAACCTAAGAAAAAAGCTCAGACTGTCCATTTGCCCTGAGAGTACTAAAGACCATACTAATAGTGATTTGGCTTCTCTTGGTCAGGAAAGCACCCAGAAGTGGGTCTTTGGGGCCAGTCTGAAGTTATCAATAGGCCTCGGGGATGCACTGAATTTTGCAATAAGGAACAACTCAGATCCTTCAGGCTTGAAATCACAGTCCCCATGCTGGAGAGACAGCTTGCATTGCAAACATGAGGACCTGAGTTCAGATCTCCAGCACCACGCTTTAAAAAACAAAGCTAAGCTCAGTGACACATGTGTGTAATCCCAATATTAGGAAGCAAAAACTGTTGGATCCCTGGAGTTCAGCCAGCCAGCCTAGCCAACTGGTCAGTCCCAGGGTCAATGAGAGATCTAACCTCAAAAAGTCACATGGTAAGTGATTGAGAAAGACACGTAAGCCTATCTCTGGTCTCTATGCCTAAATACATACATGTATGCTCATGTGTGAGCACACACATACACAGACACAATTTTAATCTGCTAGTAGAAAGTCACAAGTATACCATTTTCCAAATACTGTTCTAAGTGTCCCAATGTCTTACATATATATATCACCACTGTCTACTGGTGACAGAATGATAAATTCAAGTAAAATTATTATAAGCTTTACAGTATATTCCAATATCATATATTTCCTATCTGTAAACACTAATAGGTTAGTCACCATGAGACTGATTTCTTTAGTTGAAAAATAAGTCAGTTCTTACATTCAAAAGAACTAGGAACTTGAAACATCATCAGAATGAGAACAAAAAGCAAAACAAACTACCTCTCCTTGACGTTTCTTGTGACCTTCATCTTAGCTTTCTCTGCCCCATGAACAAGGTAAAAGATCCAGTTCCTTCCTCTGTTTATTTCTGGGTTTCTTTTTTTTTTTCTTCTTTTGGTTTTACGAGACAGGGTTTCTCTGTATTGTTCTGGAGGCTATCAGTCCAGCCCGGCCTCGAACTCACAGAGATCCACCTGCCTCTGCCTCCCGAGGGCTGGGATTAAAGGCATGTGCCACCACCGCCCGGCTTATTTCTGAGTTTCTACTCTGAGTGAAATGGGTTCTCAGTTCCGCCCACCTTGCCAACCTCAAGCCATCCACGAGTTTCCCAAGGCACCTGGGGTGCGTACGCATGCATGGCTACTGAGCACACTTCCACTCACCAGAGCACATCTCTCCTTTGTAGCGGACACAGGAGAAGTCATCGCACTCACAGAACTTGCCGGTGATCTTGCCAAAATCACTACTGTGGCAGACACACTGGCCACAGAGGCACTCGCCTCGCTGGCTGCAGATGGGCTGGCCCTCCTTGGAGATGCACTCTTCCTGCTGGGAGGGTCGGTAGTCCTCCTCAGAGCACTCACACATGGCTCCCAGCCATCCCGGGTCACAGCGGCACACTCCACACTCAAAGGTCCCATTGCCGTTGTTGCAGCGTGGACTGAGAGGCTGGGCAGAGGCCTGGCAGGCACAGTCACAGTCAAAGGTGACTTGGACAGTAAGGCTATCCTTAAAGCCCACAGGCTTGATAGTGAAAGACTGCTCTTTCTCCTTGGGGCAGCCGCGTACCTTGGCCTCGATGCTAAAGCTCACCTGGATGGAAAGATAACATTCAGACCTAAGTGGATCTGAGAAATGCTACGCTGCACCCTACCAAGACAAACAAAACTAGGTGTCAAGTCCAGCTGTCCCAGGGAGTTCCCTGACCTTAACACTATCAAAGTCTACAGAGTACCAACGACACTGGCATAGCAGTTACCACTGTGACATATCTGGCTGGACAAACGGTTACAGACAAGCAATAGAAGGCTGTTTTTCTCCTGAGAAATAAACCAGCTGAAGCAGGACAGAACCAGTGATGTTGTGAACACTTTACACAGGCCAACTAAGCCAGCTGGAGTATTGATGTCACATATTAGCAGCAAGACAGTAAGATGCCGCTCTGTGCCACACCATGCCATAGAGTGGTCAATCAGTCACAGACTGAAGGATTACGGAGCAAAGTGTGATTTCAGGGTGTGAAGGGTGGGGCTGTGAACACATACGCTCAGAGAATAAGCTTACAGGACAAGGAACCAACAGATCTACTTCTCTTCGTTCCTCCCTGCCATCCACCAGTCTCTTGGGTAGAGCAGAGGAGGACCAACAAAGAAAACCAGGGGAGCTGGAGAGATAGCTCAGCAGTTAAGAACGCTGGCTGCTCTTCCAGAGGACCTGGGTTCAAATCCACATGGCCGATCACAACCATCTGTAACTCTAGTTCCAAGGAATCAGATACCAACATCTAGCCTCCACAGGTACCAGGCACCCACATGATACATAAATATACACACAGGCAAAATAACCATATGCATAAAATGTAAAACAATAATAATCAAGGAAAAACATGGAGGGAATGGAGGGGCAATATGAGCGTTTGCACTCTTAAGTAAGTCTCAAGGGGTCCAGGTATTTTTTTTCCTGTCCACTTGCTGTTGGATTTTCATCAGCTAGAATAAAGAGAAAGTCTACTGCCGTTTTTATGATGCAGAGAAAAGAAAGGCATTACTCTGGGTGAGTAGATAAGAGATCATTTCGTTTGCAATCAGATGTACAGGTGCAAATATCTCAAAAACCGATGGAGAAGTTAACTCAGTGGATACAGAAACCTTAGGCAGCAGAAGCTTCCGGAGAAAGATCAAGAGCTTTCATACTTGAACTTCTAATTCTGGAAAGGGTTGGAGTACGCACAGACTCTCAGGTCCAGGGTCACCGCTTCAGCATGAGTCCCTGCCTAGCCCACCTTACCGTGTCTCCAATCTTGAGACCCACACAAGACTTGAGGCCTGGGATGACCTCATTGTTGAGGCAAGTGGCATTGAAGGACAGTGACAGCTCTTCAGGGAGGTCACGCACTTCCAGCTCCACTTTCGAGCGGATTTTCTGAGCAGAAAGGGACAAAAAAAAAAAAAAGTAAGGACACAGACAAAGACCAAGAGCATCCCACACAAAGCAGACTCGGTGGCCTGGGACGTGCCCTGGTAGTGCCTGATGCTGAGGTTTATCTGCCAGTTGCTGCCAGACGATCTCTGTACTCAGTCACCTCTTTCGTGTGTTGTTAGGACCTGGCTCTCCCTCCTTCTGCCCTACATATGCTCCTTGTCAATCAATCTAGCCTGCATCTGCAGTCCCCTCCACCTCTAAGCTCCCCACTCACTGTCCCTGTTCTGCCATAGCCTTCCTTTCTGTCCCATTTCCTTACCAGAAGATGCCATCACTCCCAGGGATGGCCATCCAATAGGAAAGCAGGAAGGCCACATGGGAGAATGGCAGCCTAGGGCTCCCAAATCTGAGTTCTGTTAGAACATGGGTCTGCATCTTTAGGCATGATCCCACAGCCCAAATCAGGCCACGCACTTCAGTTCTCTTTGGGACAGAGAGTTCCCAAGCAGTCTGCACTGTGACTTGACAGCTCTCATTGTAGAGTACCTGGCTTCTCTGCGTGCCGTGTTCAAGTAAATCACATGATATGAAACTTCCCGCCACTCCTAAAAGTGTATAAAAGGCCAGACCTTCCCTTTGTTCTGGGAATTGGTCTAGAGAGAAAGGCTGCTTTTGAAGAGGGTCTCCCTGCCTTCAAGCTCATGAATGTTGTCTCTCTTTCGCTCCCCTCCCCACCTCTCTCGCTCTCACTCTTAACAAAGCTCCTCTTCAGGCTTTAAACGGATGCCTCTTGTCCCCTTTAAGGCCCTATGATGTTTAGACCTCCATGTTGTATTGTTTCCATCTAATGCTCTCCTTTCCCCCTCCAGGCCCAAGCATGGCCTTGAGGCCCATTCATTTTGAGAAATTTCAATCCTGAGGTGAATTTATGTGTCACTGAAGACTGACCACTGCATCCCCCTTTTACTTCTTTTTAACATGCACTGATCAATAAGCCACATCCAGCAGCCTTGATAGGCCCTCCCGGGGCCAATAGTCTTACCCCATAAGCATCAACAATGAGCTGGAGGACATTGCTTGAGTCATCAGACAGGATTCCCACTGTGGTCCCCGGGACGAGCTCACTATAATTCTAGAAAGAAAGACAAAGACGTCCATAGCTTACTCAAGGAAAGTGGTCTCCTCAAAGTCCCCCTAGTCAGTCTTTTGACAGGGCTTCAAGACAGGGTTTCTCTGTGTAGCCCTGGCTGTCCTGGAATTCACTCTAGAGACCAGGTTGGCCTGCCTCTGCCTCCCAAGAGCTGTAATTAAAGGCACCACTGCCAGACTGGCAGTCTTAAAATCAAGTTGGGAGTACACAGTAGGATGTCTCGCTTGTCACTACCAGAACAGATCCAGCAATTCTTCATATCTGAAGAAAAGTAAGAAACCTTTTTACTCCCCTCCCCCTACTAAATTATCTCCCCACCACCATCTCAAACATCTACATCCTCTTCCTAGTAGGTTAGAGGCTGAAGGAAAAAAGGCTACAAGGAGGAATGTTAAGTACCCAGAGAATGAGTCTAAAAAGGAATTTTTCCTGGTTGGGTCCATGGCCACCTGGGACAGGTTCATCTGTGGTGACAGGAAGGAAGCCCCAGAGGCATAATTACCTGGTAGAGGTTGGCCACATCTGCAGTGACTGCAAAGATCAGGTTAATGTTATTCTTGGATAGTTTCTCAGTCATCAGCCCCAGAGACGGGTAATCCTGCAAAAGATGGAAAAGGCCCATGCTTTGAACTTGTCTTATTTGGGGTATGACCAGGGAAACGTGAAACTTAAAATTTTTATGCACTAATCAAAGTGAGGTGTTGTGGTTTGGGCTCCAGTGTGTCCCTTGGGTTTCATGTGATGAAACTGAATTCACACTTGGAGATGCTGCAGGGGTAAAGACACGCCCCCTACAGTACTGAGGGGTAGAGTGTTTGGGAAGTATGGTTAGGGGTCATCACAGCAAAGCTCCCAGAGTTGAATCCTTCTAGCATCATGAGAGGAGAACAATGAAAACTGAAACCCATACACACACTCCTTGACCTCTGCTTCATGCCGGCCTGAGTCTTGGGACTCTGAGCCAGCAAGATGACCACCAGGTGTGGTCTCTCAAACTCGAAAGTTCTAAGAACAAAACCGAAGTTCTTTTCTGGCCCACTGTTCGCAGCAGAAAATGGAGCACGAGATGAGTGAGAAGGGCAACGCAATGCAAGCTTGGCTAAGAACCCTGGGCTGGTGGTGTTCCAAAACCAAGCACCTTCCTTCCCACGCAGACTCAAACCAGATCCTTGAGTTACGACCCACCGATGTAGAGCTATGGGCAAATTCCTAGCCTCGCTCTACTGGTCACTCACCCCTACCTCTCTTCTACTCAGCACCGTTCTAGCTCATTCCTCCTGCCACCTGGAGTGACCTACATCTTGGCAATCCTCCTCCTTCCTTAGCCAAAGCTCACTTCCTCTAAGAGGCCTTCCTTGACCCCCCCCCAGCTCCTAAAGAGCTTTCCTCCTTTGGCTGCCAATAGCCCTTGACTGCATAACACACTTAGTAGTCATCATGCATTCGGTGCTGTTGATAGATGTGCTGGAACATATCCTCTCTCTTCATGTAAACAAAAAAACCTTCCAGGAGTAAGTCCTTATCGCTTTTTCATCTCTCTCAGCTCCTGGTCAGTGCCCAATGTCTGCTAGTGCCCAACTTGTATATGGCTAAAACCAAGGACGTGGAGAGACCAGAAAACAGTATGAATCAGTGTGTCCATGGGCTCATAGATCTTGCAAGGGCACTCATGAGTTCTCTAGCTCAGTCTCCTCCCTTTAATCACTTTTAAGCCACAAGGTGGTTCCTCTATTTATTGACTTGAGAAAATAAGAAGTATGTTTTAATAATAAATACGGTTTCATTTTTTATTTAAAAATAAAGAGTAGGCTGGGGATAGCTTGGTGGGTGAGCACTTATCTAATACATTGTGAGACACTGAATTCAATTTCCAGACCAGAAAAAATAACAGGCATGGTGGTATAAACTTCTAATTCTAATACTCAGAAGACTGAGGCAGAAAGATTGCAAGGTGAAAGCCAGCCTGGGCTATATATGGACCAAGGCCCTTTATCATATAATTAATTAATTAAATCAGGTGTAGTGTTGCATTACTGTAACCCTCACATCCGTGGGGTGATGGCAGAGGACTAAGAATTACAAGTCAGCCTGGACTGCATGAGAAGACCCTGAATGAAAAAAATGAAGGGACTAGGGGGACAAAACAGGTTAAAAAAAGTCAAGACTTTCTCCAGATACCCTGTGTTATTACTTTAAACTTTGCTACATTTGCCTCATAGCTGACAACAATTTCTATTTCAATTTAAGCTCCTTTCTTCTTATTTAATTAACTGTCTATAGTTAACTAAAACACAAGATGGTGTGGCTGGTGCTGATGACTGTGGAGTCAGTGTGACGCCCTGGATGAGGGGGCCCCATTGGGATGTGGCAGAAACAGGCACTAACTGAGCCCCATGTAATGCCCAGAAGTAAGGCTGTTTTCAAGTTCGCACAAAAGCCCTGCCTGGAATAAGACAGCCCTATCCGAGTGGACAAGGACTACAGTGGGACCCAACGTCTCACCATAGTTGTAGAGGCAGAGTAATGGTTGTCACTGCCAATGTGACACTGCCCATCGTTGGGCAGGACAATGCCTGCCAGCCTCCCATCCAGTGCAATGTGGGTCTTGGCATCGGTGGTAAACACCAGCAAATGGGATGCATCATTCCTCCAGCCAATCTTTTCCTGTTTCGAAAAAAGACACGGTGACTTCAGCTAGTCATCAGCACTGAACAAAGACTGCAGAACCCCCATACCTAAAGAGCTGGAGAAGCTGCATTGGAGATGCACTTCAGCCCCAAGCCTTGAACATAAACGAGAGCTTTCCAATTCAGGCTTTTTTCCCTTAGGAAAAAAATCATCCCATTGTTGATTGGTGCATGAGGCTGAATCCCACCTTCTTTAACTCCACACTTAACTCCTCAGTGACAGAAACCCTGCCACAGCTGTCCTGGATTAGAAGAAATCCCACCCAAACATCTGCTCTCTTTGCTGAGGTCAAGTTAACCCAGGCTTGACTCTGAAATAATTCCAGAACATGTGGACCAATGCTCTCTCTAGGAAAGATCTGGGGCTACTGTGGTTCAAAGAGGTGTCAGCTGTGGCCTCAGAGAGACTACACAGGAGGAACAATTATTACTCATGCTGTACAAAGTCCTGCTTGGTTCCCATCCTCCAACACACTGGAAATTCCCAACCAAACTGTTTCCTCCCCAAGTTTGATTTATGCCAGCTACACCTGGCACCCCTTGCCCTCCAAACTCACATCACAGACTGTAGCCTGCATGATGGCGTCAAAGCCGCCCTCGGGGGCATCTCGGTTACGTGACACACTCTGTTTCTTCACTTCCTCATTGAAGCGGGTCACCTGGTCAGTTAGCGTCAGCACGTGTTTGTAGCCAAACATGGGCAAACATGAAGTCTTCATACTGCAGGGGAATGAGAGGTCATCTTAAGAAAACACTGTGGGGGAAAGGTGGTACCAGAGTCGGATAAAAGAGAAAGGGACAGATACGGACAGTAGCATGCCCAGACCAGGTCCACATCAATTGGTTCTCCTTTTTTGCAGTGCTGGGGATTGGACCCAAAACCCCGAGCATGCCAGATAAATGCTCTACCACACAGCTACACTCTAGTCCCATAGAATCACAATTACTGAGACAGTCTAGACTCCAAGTCCTTCAAACTACCTGTGGCACCACAACTGTACCTCCAGGTGGCCGGAAGGACAAGAAAGGCAGCAATGAAACCAGACAGGACAGATTAACGTCCAGCTTCCCATTTGCCAAGCACGGGCTCTCTGACAGCTTCTCTAAACCTGCATTCCATCAACTATTTGGTCACAGCCACAAGAAAAGCAATTAATACACAAGCCAAACAAAGACAAGGGGCTCAGTGGTAGGTTTATATATGGAGGCATAATAGTGCTTATCTCAGAGAGCTATCACAAGACTAAGCAAAGCAATTATGCAAGAGGAAGGTTCAAGCTATCATAGCTGGAATCATTAGCACTTTTTTTACTGCAACAATAAAGCAGATGTCCAGTAAATGTATAGACCATGCTGTCTCCAGATTTTTTTTCTGAGAAAACATATAGCCCAGACAGAAATTTTAAAACTGTGCTGTAAAATTTATTAAAGTAAATCCATGCCTTGTCAGTCCAGCAATCATTATTTTAATATACTTTATTTTTAATTACATGGAGGGGGAGTGAGATTATGAAAGGGAAGGGAGAGAGAGAGAGAGGATAGAGACAGAGAATGAGTTGTGCAGGCACCATGGAGGCCAGAGGACACCACGGGATCCCCTAGAGCTGGGCTTGGGTTAAGAGCTGTCCGACTTGAGTACTGGGAACTGAACTCTGCCTGGTGATCTGGAGGAGCAGAAAGCATTCCTAACCGCTGGGTCATCTCTCCAGTCCACTGATCATAATTTTAAATCATTGCCATACATAGATTTACAGTCTTCGTCAAGTTAGCCACTCCATAGTAAGCCTCTGTGGTTTGAAGGATCATCCGTGTGCTTGAACACGCGGTCCCCAGGTGGTGGCACAGTTTCAGGGAGGTTGTAGAGTCTTTATAACGTAGAGCCTAGCAGGCATACATAGGGTTATATGGGCAGGGCTTGTTTTGTTTGGGTTGTTCCAAGCCAGCTCCGCCTCCAGCCCTAGTGGCACACAGCAAGTAGCTGCCACACGTTCCCACCACCATAGACCAAGCCACTTTACACTTCCTGCCTTACCTGTCAGGATGGATTGCATCCTCTGAGCCATGAACCAAAATGAACCTTCACCCTTAAGTTACCTCTACCAAGTGTCTGCTCAAAACAGCAAGAAGAGTAACTAACACAGAACTAAGCAGGCACAGGGCTGGAGATGCTGTTCAGAGGTAGGATGCCCCCCTAGCAAACCTGAGGCCCTAAGCTCAATTCCTAGAGCTCCTCCAACCGCACAGCTAAGGTGGGTTGACTCATGCCTGCAGTACAGCACTCAGGAGGCTGAGGTCAGTCTAGGCTACATAGAAAAAATCTGTCTCAAAGAAAAAGGTGTGAGGGCTGGAGAGACCGTCGAGTGGTTAGGAGAACCAGCTGGCCAGGAAGTGGTGGCACACACCTTTGATGCCGGCACTTGGAAGGCAGAGGCAAAGTCGGATCTCTGAGTTTGAGGTCATTCTGATCTAGATAATGGGTTCCAGGACAGCCAGGGCCACACAGAGAAACCCTGTCTGGGATTGGGGGCAAGCACTGGCTGATCTTCCAGAGGACCCGCATGGTGGTCCTCTGGCTTACACACGGTGGCTTATAACCATCTGTAACTGCAACTCCAGGGGATCCAACACCCTCTCCTGGCCTCTGATGGCACCAAACGCATGCATGGTACACAGATGTGTGCACAAAGCCAGCAAACATTGATACACATGAAACAATAAAATTTGAACATATACATATATATGTATATATATATGTATATATATCAAAAATGAGTCAAACAGAGAGAGGGATAACTTAACCATTTAAATACTGTTACAGAATTCAATAAATGTATTTAATTTTCTTGCATTTTAACTTTGCAAAATTTGTGCTCCTTTTTGTTTGTTTGTTTTTCAAGACAGGGTTTCTCTGTGGCTTCGGAGCCTGTCCTGGAATTCGCTCTTATAGACCAAGCTGGTCTCGAACTCACAGAGATCCGCCTGCCTCTGCCTCCCGAGTGCTGGGATTAAAGGCATGCACCACCAATGTCCGGCGATTTGTGCTCTTGATGCCTGGAATAACAACAATAGAACCAGATCTTCTGAAATCATAATTACATTTTTACTCATCTAGACCTCTCTCTGCTTTTGACCTCATCCCCTCCCCCTCACTTTCCTCTTCCCCTCTATCCATTTGTGACAAAGCCAATAGGCTGATGGCATTTCTATGTAGGACCCCCAGCAGCCTTGAGCCTATTGGCCTAATATTCCAGATAGTAGGCCCATTCCAGGCAGAAAACAAGTTGAAAATGATACGGTTTGGAATAAAGCAACCAACAAAATAACCTTCGAGGGGTTGGAGAGGTAGATCAGTGGTTAAGGTATTTGATGCTCCTCCAGAGGACCAGAGTTTGGTTGCCAGCAGCAACGTTAGGCAGCTCACAATCACCTGTAACCCCACCCCAGGGGATCTGACACCCTCCTCTGACCTCCACAGTCACCAGGCACACATATATACAAACACATACGTATACCTAGAAACAAAAACAATACATTTTTTGAAGAAAAATAAAAGCCTGGAGTTTAAAATGGCAACCAGGGCTTGGGTCAGCCTGAGGCTAAGGGAAGGGGTGAGACACTGGCTTGAGGAGAGAGGGCTAACCTGTAACAAGGGTTTTTGAGGGCCTCTGGTGGGGAGATGAACATGTATGGTGACACAGGCTTGTCCACAAAGGCCCCAAAGCCAATCCGAAGGTTGCTGGTAAGCTTGCGCATCTGAGAAGACAACTTGGTACCCAAGTTCTGGATGTTCTTTAGATCATCCTTCATGGAGTAGGACAGATCCATCAAGTAGTAGATGTCTACAGGGTAATCCTCCACCTGCCGCACTTGAAGTGAAAAAGTCTTCGAATCATCTGGAAGGCAGAAGGATGTTAGTTTTCTCTCACTTCCTCTAGGAATAAATCATGAGTAGGCTGCTTTAGGGGACAAGTAACTGTTTGATCAAATTAAGCTAGAAAGTTTTGCTCTCTCTCTCTCCTCCCCCCCTCTCTCTCTCTCTCACACACACACACACACACACACACCTGCCTTGTAACTCCATCCCCCTTGCAGTCTCTTGAACGTCTTCTTTTCTATTCTGTGATTTCCCATCATCTATAAATCCCCATGTATGTGACCCTCTGCGTCACCAGGGTCTACTATCCCAAGTCATACAACTCTTGGCAGCTGCTACAGTACAGACTCTGTGAGGGACAGGAACTGTACTGGGTATGGTGGCACATGCCCGTAATCCCAACATGCACGACGCAGAAGCAGAGAGATTCCTGCCAATTCAAGGCCAGCCTGGGCTGAATAGTGAGTTCCAGGCTGAACAGAGGTCCTGTCTCAAAAGTAAATAAACAGCACCCTGCTTTCCTCCAAATCCCATAAGTGTCTTGCACATAGTGGGGCTCTCCAACTCTTACTGATTCAGTCAGGCCAAACATTGAAAAGCTCACCCTATACCTAACACTCCTCCCTCTTCTGTCCCTACTTCGTCTGCTCCTGAACAGTCCTTATCCCCTGTGGAAAACAGGCTCACAAATTGCTTTCTTATCCTTCATCTTATTTGTACCGCCACACAAAGCTACAAACTAGACAAAACACATGAGAGGAAGCAGAACCAGAAGGGTTAAGTAACTAGTAACCAAGCAAATAACTAGTAACGTGGTGGAGTTGGGATTCACATTCGGATCTTCTGACTCAGATCCTGACACCTTATTTTCTTCCATTCTCCGACCCACAACCCCTCCCTCCCTCTCCCTCCCTGCCTCCCTGCCTCTCTCTCTCTCTCTCTCTCTCTCTCTCTCTCTCTCTCTCTCTCTCTCTCTCTCTCTCTCTCTCTCTCTCTCTCTCTCTTGCTCTCCCCTCTCTCTCCACCCCATTCCTATTCTGTGCTGCCCCTCCCCCAAGAGTTCCAGCTAAATGTCCCTCCTTGCCCGCTGTGCCAGGGGTCTTCCCCAAGATGAGCCCCGTGCCTACCTGGCCGTAGTCGAAGGGCAATCCTCTGGGGACTGACTTGAGTGATCTGGGCGCTGTCTCCAGAGCCCTTAGTGCTGAGCGGTCTATCCTCCAGGATCTGGGCCTCGCTGACTGGGAACTCAATGGACTCTGGGGCACAGTTGTCCTTCAGCAGGCTGTCCTTCAGGTTACAGCGGGGTGAGCCCTGAGGCAGAGCCTATGGAGACAGGAGCCCAGGGGAAAGCCTGACATCAGAGCTATCGTGGCTATGCTGTGCCTCCTGCATGACATGTAACCTCCCAGTGGCTTAGAGCTTGGCCAGCCCTCTGGAGCTAATCTAGCATAAAGGAACTGCTGAGGTCCCTTCCTAGGATAATCCACAGGGGAGCAAACAGGAGGGGCGAACAGGCTGAGTCACTACCTGCTCATGACTGACAGCTGGGAAAAGGGTGCCTTAAGTAAGATGCCTGACAAACTAGTGCTTTCCAAATTGCAAAACAGAAATTAGTTTGTGAGTCTCAAAACCAGGTTTACTAAGTAAAACACAATTGAACAGAATAGAAAAAATACCCAAGTATATACCAAGTAAATGAAAGTTCCGATGTTATTTGGGGAAACTTATTTACTGGAGGAGGGGATTTAGCATACTTAATGAGTAATACTATACGAGGTATTGCTTTCTGTAGGTCAAGGTTAAAACCATTTAAAGCTATTGTATTAGATACTGGCTGCTTTAAGATCAGTGGTTGTGTGTTCCTGCCCCCCCACTTCACCCAGGACAAAGGTGACAGAGCGGAGACAGGGAGGGTAAAGAATAAGGAGCACAGGAATGATCTAGCTGAGACTGATGCTCAGTGTCACCACTGACGGGTGCCAGAGCACCACACACAGCTCTCCACGCCCGGTTTCTTCAGCTGTAACATAAAGGGTAAACGTCTTCAAACGGCAGTCAAAACCACAGAGACAGAAAAGGAAATGATGGTTGCTAGGGGCTAGGAAGAAGGAGGAAGGAAGAGTCGTTTGATAGGCCCAGAGTTTTAGTTTAGCATAATGAAGTTAGTTATGGGGATGGATGATGGTAAGACTTTCACACACTTAGAAATGGTTCCATTGGAAAGGTGTTTGCTGCACACGTATGGGAACCTGAGCTCAGCGCCCATGTCTTAAAAAAAAAAGAAAAGTGTATGGTGACACCAGCCCAGAGCTAGGGAGGCAGAGACAAGAGGATCCCTGGGGATTGGTGACCAGCTAGGTTAACTATATTGGTGCACTCCAGGTACAATGAGAGACCCTGAGTCTCAAGAAATACAGTGGGGGGGAGGGAGGGAGGGAGAAAGGAAGACACACAAAATATATATATATATATATATCTCCACACATGTACACACCACACACACACAAAGAAGTTAAGTGGCTTGCCCAGAGTTGCAGAGCTTGGGAGCAACACAACTAAGATGCCACCTAGGCTTTCTGCCTGTGAGCACCCTGCCTCGTAAAGTAAGTTTTATTGCATTCTGTAGAGAACATAACAAAAGGTAGTAAAGCTGGTTGGGAGGATGGTCCTGGAGGAGCCACAGCAGAAAACACCCCAGACATCCAGAGAACCGGATACGAGACAGAGGTGTGAGAAGTGTGGGGAGACATGGGAAATGTTCTTCCTGTCCAGCTGTGCAGAGCACGGCCACCAGCGCACCTGGGAGGGATTGATCCACACAGACACCCACATTCTAAAGCTCAAAAGGGGCCCTCTGAGGAGTTGAGACCTGCCCCTGTAGATGGTGACACAAGTGACACACACACTCACACACATATACACACATATACACAAGCACACACACACACATACACACACATACACACACATATACACACACACCACGCACACATATACACATACCACACACATATACACACACATATACACACACACCACGCACACATATACACACACCACACACATATACACACACCTCACACATATACACACACACATATACACACACACTCACACACATATACACATATACACACACATATACACACACTCACACATATACACATATACACACACATATACACACACTCACACACATATACACACACATATACACACACACCCACACATATACACACACATACACACACATATACACACACACCACGCACACATATACACATACCACACACATATACACACACCTCACACATATACACACACACATATACACACACACTCACACACATATACACATATACACACATATACACACACTCACACACATATACACACATATACACACACACCACGCACACATATACACATACCACACACATATACACACACATACACACACATACACACATATACACACACCTCACACATATACACACATATACACACATATACACACACTCACACACATATACACATATACACACACACCACGCACACATATACACATACCACACACATATACACACACATACACACACATACACACATATACACACACCTCACACATACACACACACATATACACACATATACACACACACTCACACACATATGCACACACATATACACACATACTCATACACATATACACATACCACACACATATACACACACTCACACACATATACACATATACACACACACCCACACATATACACACATATACACACACATATACACACACACCACGCACACATATACACATACCACACACATATACACACACCTCACACATATACACACACACATATACACACACTCACACACATATACACACATATACACACACTCACACACATATGCACACACACATATACACACATATACACACATACACACACACTCACACACATATACACACACACTCACACACATATGCACACACACATATACACACATATACACATACCACACACATATACACACACACTCACACACATACACACATATACACACATATACACACACGCACACATACACACACATATATACACACCTCACACATATACACACACATATACACATACCACACAATATTCTACCCTCACACACACACACTACATACACCATACACATTTCACCCTCTCACATACAGCACACACACTCTCTACCTTCTCTCTCACACACACACATACTACACACATACTCCACCCTTACTGACACACGCAAACACACATACACACACGCACACACACACATACACACACTACCACCACCTCCAAACTTATCTCTGATTTCAACTGCCCACAGACCTCAGAGAAAACCTTCCCCAAAAGGTAATGATTAGATCACCAAGATGCCAGGGGAGCTGAGCCTTTCCAGAGCAGGACAGAGGCTGGAGGAGGGAACCAGGAGGGGGAAAACTGCAAGCCATGAGGAGTGAGTTTCCTCAGGCTCTGGGACAGGAGAGGGTGCTTCTGGGGCCTTTCCTCTGGCTCATGTGCTGGCAGTGTTTGTGCTTCCTGTGAATAAAGACTGACAAATTAAAACTAAGTAAGTAAATAAAGCAATGAGAAACAAGAGCAGGCCATCTCCCTCCTTTGGCGGTCGCTGACATCAGAAGTCAGAAACCTAACAGGCCCATTGGCCCAGCTCTTCCTGAGAGCCTTCTGCTCTGGGAAGATACCAAAGATACCAAGGCAATGTCCTCAGTAACACTGGCCACATTCCCACCCCAGGCCCACACAGGAAAAAGGATATCTCTGGGTCACCAAAGAGAAAACTAGATAGGGGTTGGTTTTAATGTTCTAGTTTCCACCAGTACCGGATGTTACACCAAAGAGTCAAGCCCCACCCCCTGGGGAAAGAAGATCACCCACAGAGGTGGGAGGCTCCCAGCTGGGGGATTACCTCCCCTTCCTGAGAGGTGACACATGCTATTAGGACCAGTCCCCTTAATCCTGTTTGGGAAAAGTACAGAATGAATAATAGTCACTGTGATAGCTGCCTCACAGGGCTGGGCAGGGCCTAAAATAAGACTGTGAGACGATTTCAAATTACAAAGTCTCAGTATGAGTCAAATATAGTCAAATCCTCTGAGGGTCCTGTGAAGGGACGGCAGCCGCTTTCCACCCCTGTAACCACCACTGTTACTGTGTACTCCCTCCTTGGAAGACGGCGGGGAAAACATCCTTGAAGTGTTCTCTTTGCTTTTTTCAGCACTAGGAGTGGACTTGCACATGCCGGGCTCTACCACAGGGTTATCTCCCTAGGCCCACTGAATGCCTCACTTAGTAAGAGTAAGACTTAGATTGCCTGAACACAAAGAGGTGTATGGAGGGGAGACAATAGAGAAAGAAGGCATTTTACTCTACAGCTGTTAGGACTCATGTTTTGTTGGTTATGAGGATAAGGGGCACATTCTTACCACTGTGTTATTTGTTTGGGGTTTTTCTATTTGATGAACTGACTGACTGACTGACTGACTGACTGACTGACTGACTGACTGATTGATTATTTTGAGGCAGAATTTCATTTATCCCAGGCTGGCTTTGAATTTCTATATAGGCAAAATTTTACCTTGAATTTTTTATGGGGTGTGTGTGTGTGAGTGTGTGTGTGTGTGTGTGTGTATGTGTGTGTGTTGCACATATACACATGATGCACAGGTATGCCTGCACACACATGAGGAAGTCAGAGGATGGTATCCATTCTTTTTTAAGACAGGGTTCACCATGTAGCCCTAGCTGCCCTGGAACTCCCTATGTAGACCAGAGATCTGCCTGCTTCTGTTTCACCAGTGCTGAGATTAAAGGTGTGTGCTACCGCCGCCAGCCACCTTATTTTTCGATATAAGGTCTCAGTGAATCTGAAGTTCACTGCTTTGGCTAGGATGTCCGGCCAGCAAGCTCCTGGTATCTAATTGTCTCTACTCCCCAACACTGAGATTTCAGACAGGAGTGACCATGTCCCGCTTTTATGAGGGTGCTGGGGATTTGAACTGAAGTCTTCTTGCTTTCACAGAGCCTTCTCCCTAGCCCAACCCTGAACTTCTACCTTCACCTTGATCCTCCTACCTCTGCCCCCTGAGGACCAAAGCTACAGATATGTGGCCATCATGACCAGATAATGAAGTTCTGGGTTAAGCCCAGCACTTCATGCATGTAGAGTAAGCACTCCACCAAATGAGTTACATAGCCAGAGCCTACCTCTTAGTTGTGATATCCATTGCTGTGAAGACACAGCAGGACCACGGCAACTCTTACAAAGGAAAACATTTAGCTGGGGTGGCTTCCAGCTTCAGAGGTTTACTCCATTATCATCATGGTGGGATGTGGTGCCATGCAGGCAGACATGGAACTGGAGCTGAGAGACCTGCATCTTCACAACAGGAAGTGAACTGTCTCACTGGACACGGCTTGAGCATATACAAGACCTCAAGCCCACTTCCACAGTGACACACTTCCTCCAAGACCATACCTACTCCCTTTGGGGGCCATTTTCTTTCAAGCCACCATACCTACTATACATTTTTTTCCTACAATAACAAATTTGTGGACAAACTCAAGGTGGACATCTATGATCCAGGTTAAAAATAAACATAAAGAAATTATAGACATGATAAACACACAGACACACACACACACACACACACACACACATACACACACACACACACACACACACACACACATCCTGAGCCTTTCCCTACAGATACAGAGAAAGAAGTCCTACTAGAGTCTTTTACCTGCAATGCCCCAAACTGCACTCTTCCTCTTTCATTCCTGGGTGTCAGGTTGTGAGTTGGTTCACCTTCCAGCATGTGCTCAGGCCTGTGTATCACTCCCTAGCATTTGGTCCTGCCTTAAGGTTGCCAAATTTAGAAAATATGCAAAGCATACCAAGATGAAAAATTATTTGCTATTTAATCCAACTTGAATTAGGTGCTCTGTATTTCGATGGCAACCCCAAGTCTGCCTCCACCCACCTAGTCCAATCCCAGCCTCCACCAGTAGCAATGTTATCTCCCTTGCTACCATAACAACCTGTTCTGATGCAATAGGTCTAGGGTCCATCCTGGGAGCCTTTATATTTTACAAACACTTCAGGCTTGTTAAATTACCATATGACTTCAGAAAGTTCTAGACTCCGGTATGATACCACTTAAGCCAAGAAGGCAGGTCCTAGCACTGTGTAAAGCTGGTGTCTTTACTAGCTGTACAGGCCAGAGATAGCACATTACCCAAATCCATGTTATCTAACCACGTATCTATCTGGCCAAGAACACACCCTATGCAGATGGGCCCAAAACACCCCACTCATACACATTGGCTCTACTTTCCTCTCACCCAGCCAAGTCCTTACTATACACACCCAAGAGCTGCTGTCCTTTAAGAACCAGAAGCTGAGCCCAACCAGTTGTTTTCAGAGGCATTGCCAGCATCAGCACCCGAGACAGTCAAGGCAGGGATGGCAGAGGGTTGAGCAGCGCCCCCAACCCCACCTTTGGTTGTTTCAAGTACAGATCCAAACATTTTCAATAGCTAAGCTTGCCCTGGGCAAGGGAAGTTCTGCTCCCCCGGGAAAAAGATAACAGTCATGTTCTAGTTCTAGTCCAGGGCTCCTCCCTGCCTGACACATTTTGTCCCACATCCGACTCCCGGCCCAGACCCTCCTCCTCCTCACTTAGGGATGGTAGATTCTGTCAGCCACTATATTCCATTCCGAGGGCTCTCTACCTCCCTTCTTTTGTTTCCTTTGGTCCTAGCTGCCACCCACTTCCTGACTCCACCCCATCAATAGACCGATCCTCCCCAGCCTCTCTCCCTCTGGCCCCTCAGTCTGCCCCAGAGGGCAAAGATTCACCATAGTGACCAGTAAATATTCCACAATTGCCTCTAGCCCTGTGGAATGTGTCCATACAGCCTAAGGAGGGGCTTGGACTGGTCAGGACCCAGTCTAACTTGTCCCTATAAGACCCAGATGGGTATCAAACGGGATATGAGGAGGGGACAGGACTGGACACCCCTCTAAAGGACAGGCTCTCTGGGGATTCTTTCTTCCCCGCAAGACTCCCTTGCCTATCTATGCATTAGGTGGAAAGGGAGAGAGGAGGGAGAGACATCCTTTGTGTCCCACTAGTTTTTCTTCAGGGGGCTCTCTCTGCTCCAGCCAGCCAACCTTAGGCCAGCCAGGCCAAACAGGACACCCTCTAGGTCCCACTCCTCCTGGGATTGTTGCAGAATGACAACTTCCTCAGAAAGCTTAACAAAATCGTGATGGTGACCAAAGGCAGGAGGATATGACAAATGCGAAGGAAAAAGCCACACTTGAGCCTCCAGTGTAGCCCAGAGGGGAGGGGCACCTGTGGGGGTGGAGAACAAGGGCTTACCCTCCCCAAGCCCCAGAGAATGTTGCATTCGCTAAATGAGATCAGTCTGGTCCAGATGTTGGGCAGCTGCCTCTAGAAGCAGTTCCCGTGCCAAACGGCACAGAGGCCAATGCTGTGCACGGAGCTGGCCTCGGAGGCTCTGGCAGCCCTCCTCTAGGGGATAAACACACAGCCTTCTGCTCCCTTCCTCCCCAGTCTGCCCAGGAGGTTGCCTTTTTAGGAAACTCAGAGGATCGAAAGAGAAGCACACAGAGAGATTGAGGGGACAGCTAGAGCAGTCAAGGAGCTAGCTCTGGACCAAGCGGCCAGCTCAGGTGGCTGAGGAGTGGCCAAGCCAGTGGCTCAGGTGACCATCTGCCGGGAGGTGGTGACTCACTCCCTCTGTAACTGTTGGGTACCTCTCCAGCCACATGCACCCCCTACCTCCCGTCAGTCTTTGCCAGCTCCAAATTCCCAGCCTGGCCACAAACATAGCTATTGCCTCAGACACACTCATTCCCTAGGGCCTCAGACACAACAAACTCTCTGCCTAGACACGGCTGACCCTCTCCTGTCACCCTCTGGTCCTCACTAGTGGGCTGTGATATCCTTCCCCACCTCAAAGAGGGAGGGGAGGGAAGGAAGGTGGGAGGGACTCAGGGAGGAAGGAAGGAAGGCAGAAGAGCCTCCTGTCATCAGAGAAAAAGGAAGGAAAAGGGATTTCTACGAATTTGAGCACATGGGCACGGGCACGCACACACACAGATTCCTCTTTGGGTCTTTGTTTTGTTTTTCCATTCTGAATGACAAACAAGCTGGCTGCTCTCCACACCCCTAGCACCTCTCTCTCATTTTGAGACTAAAGCCCTTCATCCCTGAGATGTTCTTAGCCTGAAGCAAGCAAAACCTGGTGAAGAGTATCAACAGTCACAGCAAGAAAGGACATCCAACCAACTGGCTGGGAGCGGGCGAGCACAACCGACTCTAACCTCCCTTACCAGCTTCCCACTGTCAGCGGGAAGGCTTCACCTAGTCTTGCTGGGGGGGGGGGGACTGCATTCAGGAGGAAGGAAGGAGTTCCCTGTGTCTGTGCTTACACAAAAGCACCTAAATCTAGGGAAACAGCTGTGAACTGAAGTTTAGGGGGGCATACCCATGTTGATCATTCTACAAGGCCAAATGGAATGCTACAATTCGGGAACCAAATTATTTGGGGCTATATTATCCCCCTAAATAACCATCTATTACCTACCCGTGGGCTTGACTATGAAGTAAAAGTCCTTTTTGAGATTTGCAAACAGACTCCTAGCTTTCACCAACCCAGAGGCTAGGAATGCCATCAGGTAGCATCAGAGGCTCATAGCAGGTTCTCTGTCTCTTTACTGCAACCCAATGACCTGATGCTTCACCGATGTACTTTAAAAACACCTTGGTATACTACTTTCTTTGTTCTGTTACCATAAAACCTTCATTTAAACTGGTCATCATGTTGGGAACACAGTATTTGAAGCAACCTGAATCCATGTTCCTTGGCCACCGTCAATTACATTTGGCTCCAGAATAAACCTCCCTATACTTCTTTTGGATGAGAGTTGTGCTTTTGCATTGACAGAATAAGGTATGGGCTCCTTACCTCATCTGAACACCAGGCACACACAGGACTCACGGCCAGACACTGCTGGCAGGAGTTCACACCTCGTGTGGTACAGATGTTGGACTCTGCAATGAAGAGACGCAGACATTAGCACCTGATTTGCTGAAGGCAATAACCATCCTGCCCCAGCTACCCCAAATTTCCCAAACACTCACGTGAACATCTCCCAGGCACACACAAACACACCCTAACCTTGCCATACGCATTTACCAAACATGGACTATTGATAAGCTAAAAAGAAAATGAAGAAGACGGGGAGAAACTCAGCACCATTTCAGCCAGTGAGGCCACAGTGACAGCAGCTGATAATGGGACTGGGCCACAGACCCAAGTGTCCCATCACAACTGATAGAAAGTAATTAATTAATGATGGTTTTATACCTACACTGGGCAAGAGTAACGGCCAGGTACCTTCTCCAGCTGTCTAATTGTAGTCGCAGACACTACAAAGAAGCCCTAAGGCCCAAATGCACTAAGACTAACACCTAAATACTGTGAGGCAGGAGGCAGGGTAACTTTAATGGCTGTGTCTCACTATCTCAACAAATGTCCCAATACATCTGTCTTGGAGGACACGCATTCAATGCTGGAAAGGACTGGAATGATCAGGAAAGGCTAATGGAGACTGGAAGGACATGACATTTCAGAGTGGGAAGCGAGTGTGCTTGATGCTGTGCCCCTGAGTAACTCATCTCATCTCTGTGAAATGGCTGATCTGTTGTACAGGATTTCTGCAATAGGCCAAGAGGATGCTTCAAGATGACACTCAGAAGTGAAGAGTCCCCGTGTTGACAAAAGGCAGGGGAAAGACGACAAGGAGGGACAAAGACAGCAGGGGCCCAAAATAGACCTGAGAAGTACAGCCAGGAAGTTAACCCCAGGCAGCTGCTCCTGTAGAAGGCTCCCCCCTAGCTGGCATCCCTGGCCTCAGACAAATAAGCCCCCTCTGCCCACAGTGCCTCACGGAAGCCTTTTCTCCCATGGGCAGAAAGACAATCCATCCCCTCTTGTGCAGTCAGCTACCCTGTCAGTCCTCTTACACACAACTCTCTGCACGGCCTCCTTTGCCCATAACTGTCATTTCTGGCTTTGTCCTCAACAAATCTATTTCCAAAGAAGTTATCCTAATTCCTTGGGTGTTTTTTTCAATATCTCCAAAACTTCTCATCTAGTCAAACATCTATTTTATGACTGAATTCTATCCATCCCAACATCTGAACAGAACATACTCCGAAAATGATTCTGCCATGATCAGAGACCCTCTGCATCTTTTGTTTGGTTTGGTTTGGTTTGGTTTTTCAAGACAGGGTTTCTCTGTGTAGCCTTGGCTGTCCTGGAAGTCATTTTGTAGATCAGGCTGGTCTCAAACTCAGAGGTTCGCCTGCCTCTGCCTCACCAGTGCTGGGATTAAATGTGCAACACTGCCTGGCAACTATCTGTATCTTTGTCTTGAACTGATTAGGGTGTTTTACTACTTTGTACTGTAGAGGGTAATACAGAAAATTGATGATAATATAAATCTATTTTTATGAGGCAAACACCAGTGATTCTCATCTAACAAAAATGCCAATGACGGCTACCTGGTAGAGAACATGAGCCCCGAAGGTTAAAGCTGGTTGCTTTACAGACATTGGCCAATTCATTTCCAGACTAGCCAACTATAAAACTCTATTCCTCGAGTTCCCTTTGGAACCAGTTCAAGCACCTTTCTGGTTCCCACACTGTTTAAACTGACTAACGTCTTGATAGATGTTCTTTTTGTTTGCATGTATGAAAATAATACCTTTTAAAATTACATTTAACAGCCAAGAAAAATATTTCAGCGATACAATGAATGTTTAGCATGCTTGTGGCCTTACGTTCCATCCCCAGCACAGAAATAAAAAAAAGAAAAGGAAAAAATGAGGAGGAGTAACAAGGAGAAGAAAAGAAAAGGACAAATCAGTTGAACCTTAGAAGCCTGCCTGCCTGCCTGCCTGCCTGCCTGCCTGCCTGCCTGCCTGCCTGCCTGCCTGCCTGCCTGCCTGCCTGCCTGCCTAAACCAGTCCAAAGACGTACTGGTACCAACCGAAACAGTTCTATTTTGTTGCAACTGAGCTCATTTCTAAAGACTATACCAGAATTCTAGACTAAAAACTGTAGACCAGGAATGGCAGTACATACCTATAACCCTAGCAGTCAGGTGGCTACAGCAAGATTACTATCATGAGTTGGAGCCAGCCTGGACTACATTACAAGTACTGGGCCAGTCATAGCAAGAGTTTATTTCAATATCTAGGTGTATGTTTAGATATGTAGATATATAAACACATACATGTAATATATAAATGGAACCTCTTCAAAACACTGGACTGTACATGGAATCTTTGAAGCAAGGCTTCAGGTTTCCTCAGAGGCTTGACTCTATCTTGCTTCAAAAGCCTTTCTTCACTCCAAGTGTTACCAATGAGACAACGCTACAAGCCTGTGAGTAACTCCTAGAGCTCTATTCTCAGACATGAATAAAACTTAAGTGTGTGTGTGTATGTGTGGGTGTGTGTGAGAGAGACAGTGAGTGAGTGTGAGAGTGTGACTGTGAGTGTGTGTATGTGTGAGAGAGAGAGCATGTGAGAGTGTGACTGTGAGTGTGTGTATGTGACTGTGAGTGAGTGTGAGACTGTGTGAGAGAGTATGACTGTGAGTGTGTGTATGTGTGTGTGAGGGGGGAGAAGGAGAGAGAGTGCATGTGAGAGTGTGACTGTGAATGTGTGTGTGTGACTGTGAGGATGTGCTCTGAGTGTGACTGTGAGTGTGAGACTATGTGAGAGTATGACTGTGAGTGTGTGTATGTGTGTGTGAGGGGGGGAGAAGGAGAGGGAGGTAGGGAGAGGGAGAGAGAGCAGATTGTGAGGTGGCAGTTGTGGCACTGATTCCAAGTCAGGTCCCAGGGCATCAAAGTGGGGCAACTTTCAACAAAGCAGTGTGCAATGGAGAAAAGGTAGTTGATCTTTCTACGGACGCCAGGTTCTAACACTATGTAAAACCAACAGTGCCATCCAAGTCTACAGATGCCAGGTTCTAACCCCATAAAACCAACAGTGCCATCCAAGTCTACAGATGCCAGGTTCTAACCCCATAAAACCAACAGTGCCATCCAAGTCTACAGACGCCAGGTTCTGACCCTATAAAACCAACAGTGCCATCCAAGGCTTCTCCCTGCAAGGGCAGTCAGGCCAGATATTAGCTTCACCGTTGCTCCTCCTGGAGACATGAACACAGCCCTTCACCATTATAGCTCCATCAGAAGAGTTCAGAGAGGAACCGTCCTAGACTATTTTAGGTAGCTCCCCTCTTTGGGGTGTTTCCATGGAGACTAGCAACTAAGAGTGATCCTGGACATAAATACCATCAGTGTTCACTAGAAAAAGAGGAAATAGTTCAAATGAGAAGTGTAGGTGTGTGGGTACTGTCAAGTTCTTTCTTATTACATTCATTTGTTTGGTTTGAGAGAGAATAAGAAAGAAGGTATGAGCATATATGCCACAGTGTGGAGACCAGAGGACAACTTGAGAGAGTTGGTTCTCTCCTTTTGTCATGTAGATCCTGAGGATCAAACTCAGGCAGAAAACTTGGCAGCAAACGCCTTTACCCTCCTGAGCCATTTCGACAGCCCAGCCCAAGTTATTTTTCAAAGCCTTTCCCAATCTATCCTTGAATCCATTTATTCATTCTCAAACTAGTGTTCCCTGAGTCCTTGACTTACAGTGGGAAGCCTGGCCAAATGTGAAACAAGAAACAGCAGGCCCCTCCCAGACCTCAGAGGATGAGCTGGGCTGCAAGGATCTGTCCTTTAGGGAGTCATGGTCACCCTGTCCCCTTGATCTCTTATTTTTAATGAATCCCAGGTTGATAGTATAAGAGCCAATGATCCCCCCCCCCGAGCAACTAAATCCTGCCACCCAGAGCAGGAATCCTGGAATGCAGTGGCTGAAAATGGCTGACTCATCAGAATTGTCTGTGCTGGGCCCCAGCTGATTCAAAGGACTGCTGCTCCCAGGCTGCCCCTCCCTTCTGAACATGTGGGCCTCCTCCAGGCCTCTGTTTCCAGTCATTCATGAAGCCTGTATTCCTTCTCAGTCTCTATGTTCCAGAAGCGCTTACTGGAGAAGTGAGGATCCTCACTGGAATGTCAGTAAGAAGAGTGGGTGACTCCCAAAGCCTGTCCTCTCTAGACTTCATCCAAGAAGTCAAGCAAGATTGACCAGACCGGGTCCTCAACAGGAGGTTGCGATCCTTGAATGAACATCCTTGAAGGCAACAGCTGGCGTACATAAAGTACTCAAAGGATGCTGATGCTGGAGCTGTTTTTGTTGTTGCCAATTTTATCCTTAGCTTCAAGCTATTTAGAGTAGACAACCACCATACCATTTTTTTAAATTCCTTAACGTCATTTTATTGGACACCAGGCACAAATTAAACAAATTAAACCCTGAAAAGGAGGCTAAAGATGGGAGTGTGGAGCCAAAAAGTATCACAATAGGTTAAAAAAAATCTAGACAGAGCAAGGAATATGTGTTCAAAAATCCAGTCTAGGAACGGTTGCTGAGAAAAGGCGGTCACTGGGAAAGAAGGCAAGGCCAGCCAAGGAGTTTGCCTGGAAAGCAGAAATAGATGGCTGTGGTCTGGCACATCAGCCTGGTTCACAGAACCAGAAAAGAGATAAAGGGCGGGGAAAATAATAGAGGCAAAAAGGAAATGGAATGGAGCTGGAACCAGGGGAAGTCATAAAGGGCAGTGTTGAGGACCTATTGTCCAATGAGACAGGATGTCAGAATGCAGGCCGGGGACCCTGAGGCCATGGACTCTCAGGGCTTAGTCAGGGTGGACAGGACACCCTGATGAAGCCAAGGACCTCCAGGGCTTAGTCAGAGTGGACAGGACACCCTGATGAGGCCAGGGACTGTCAGGGTGGACAGGACACCCTGATGAGGCCAAGGACCTCCAGGGCTTAGTCAGAGTGGACAGGACACCCTGATGAGGCCAGGGACTGTCAGGGTGGACAGGACACCCTGATGAGGCCAGGGAC